TTCTGAGTGTTCGATCTTTGTATTAATAATTATAACAAACTAGTGGAGTAATTTCACAAAAAATAATTGAATATCAATTCAATAAAAATTTAATTAAACATTTTTTTATTATTATTATTTTTACTCGTTATGTAAAATTAACTTGCATTAACACTGACTTATCAAACCATGTTGTGTGGACGTGACAAAAATATTACTTACCTGTAAGTATTTTATCCTACCTGATGGAACATCTCAGTAACATGATCAATGATCTTCGAAATGATTGGCACTAAAATATTATCTTCCGACAATTTCAGTACGATTGATGAAAATAAAAAGTAAATGTCTACCCCTTTATAGCCTGACTTTTAAACCCTTCGTATGACGAAGGTTATGTAGATTGAACAAAATATTTATATTCCTGTTAAAAAGCTAATTAAATTTGTTTTCGACCTGTAAATACAGATTACTTAATATAGTACACAGTACTTGACGAATACATTATTCATAAGTTTGAAAGTACAATTATTACACTTTTTGTTTCAACTAAACACGGTGACTATTTTTAAAGATATGTATAATTTGTGTAACACAAATCTGACAGAAATGTAATTACTATAAACTTGCAATTTACCTTAATTCAAATGGCAGTTGGAAAACTTCACACCACACAGTGCAACGCAAACGTTAACACAAACAAAACCGAAACCACAGACTACTTAGTACCACTGAAACTATCAAATTATTTTCAATTTCATAGTCAAAGCATTGTTTTCATGTTTCAACATATTGAAGATTAGGATTACTCACTACTCAGCCTCATTTATAGTTTGCAAGGCAAAAATTGTAGGTCATTAATATCTTAAATCAAGGTACACAACCTATGAGAATGTAGGATCATTTATTTTTGTTTTTCTATTTAAATTGTGATCTTATTTTATTATTTTCAAGAGGTCGCGGTTTACATGTTAGAGCGCAAAGAGTGTGCGCGAAAACCTTTTAGGAAACATAGACAATTTTTGTCCGGAAGTGGAATAATGAAACACGATTCGATCATACTTAAATGTCATAGATGATACAATCAAAATGTCAATCGTCATTTTTTCAAAAAAAAAAAAAAGGAAACAATAAAAATGGCGGTGTTTATTAAATTTGACAGCACGCTTTGATTGTGATCCTAGCAGTGCAAAAAAAATAGAGTACAAAATTTAATTTCATACCGTGGGTCGTTGCTGTCCATAAACATTGTTTTAGCACACGAGCAAATTTAACTAGAGCAGTGAATAGATAAACATCATAACAATAATCTAGTAAGTTTTTTGAATAATCAAATATTTGTTCTAATTTTTATTTATAACGATATAAATCATGAGATCGGTAATGTCATCAATAGTAAAGTGATTTATTCGGTCTTTATTATTGCCAGCAAATGTTCACAAACGTCTTGACAATGAATGGTTTCCCTGACGACGTACGGTTCATTATTGTAAGTGGGTTTTATTTTGATTGAAGGTTATTGTATCCACTTACAATTCTATTACAAATCTATGACCTGAGTGTGTTATTGTCCACAAAAACTATTGGTATACGGTACACCAACACGTCGCACATGGAACCAAATACTGTCGTTACTCAAAATTGTTGAATTGAGAAAACATAATTCGAATTTTTAAATAAAGTACTCAATGGATCTTATTGCGAATAATGTGATTATTTTTATTTATACATTACTTAATTATCCAATTACAAACGAGAATCAATTTTGAGTTACGAAAGTATTTATTTTCGTGGGCAACACGTGGGTGCATTTCGTAATTATTTAAAAGTAGAAGAAAGAATACGAATCTTAAATAATGAAAAATGTACAAGGCAAAAATCTATTCTCTTATGTAAATATGATTATTTTATATTTCAATGGTTTTTCGATCGATTCCTGTACTTTACCAGCTTTATATTGATTATGGTACCACACTAGCATTAAAATTATTTTAATAGACATGTTAAAACATAACAAAACACAATAAAATTAGTGTGGATTTCATTTTGAATTAACCAACATGATTATGTGTCAAATGATAGTTCAGGTGCTAGAAAATCAATGTAGCAGTGGTGCTCACACCACAATTAATGACTTGCACAGGGATTCAGATGATGAACGAACTTTGGTATAAAATAAATAAAGTATTCCAAAAATACTGTGATAAAAAATCCCAATGAAATTTACTCTCTACTTCTTCTCCTCTAGAGGAAATTAAAAGTACCTACATGTATAATTAAAAGTTACTACACTGATTTGAAAAGATACATTTATATATTTCAATGTTAAAGAAAGAATTACTCCACGATTGAAGGAAAAAGAAAATGTTTTCATCAGTATCCAGATATTAGAACAAGATTTAAAAATAAGCTGAGTGCCCTTGAACTTGTACAGGCTGAACACCCACATTTTGCTTTTTCGATCAGCGTCTACAAAATTCAACATTTCAAATGTGCATTTATAATTAATAAGTAGGCAGTATTATTAGTTTTTAAATTAAATATTTTGTTAATATATGAGTTTTTAATAACTAAAAAATGTATGTTATTCAAATGAGTTTGTTTGCTCTTGACCTTTGCAGGCAACTATAATACATTTTAATAAATAGTTTTCACTTTTATTTGTTTATTTATAGCCTTCATTGTTGATTAACAAGAATAATAAGGCAACTTACATACCAACTTATCTAACACAGAAACATTGTATGACATGCTTATGACTTATTGTTACTCAAATGTCTCAAAATTTGTTGCCTTGGTACCTTCAGCTTGTCCTAAGACATAGGTCTCCAGAGATTTCCATTTCTCCCTATTTGCCTCCATGCTCCTCCAGCTACATATTTAAAATTGTCCTCCCATTTCAAGTATGTTCTACCATTCTATTCCATAATTTTCAACTATTTTTGTGAAATTACTCTACTAGTTTGTTATGATTATTAATATAAAGATCGAAGCCAGAATGAAGGAATTTATTCTTAGTGTTCAATTTGTGTATTAATAATTTGATAACAATCTTGAATAACAATATTGAATTATAACAATATTTTCGAATTTTTGGCCAAGAGTATAAGATCACCTGCAAATCTTAAGTGATTAAGGTGTACTCCATTTATAGTCAATCCATATTCTCCTCAGACAAGATGTCTAAATATACTTTCCAAGACAGCAGCGAATATTTTGGTTGATAGAGGATCCCCCTAGCGGACACCCTTTCTGATTTGGAATTCTTTGCCTTTACTCTTTTTGTATATTTGTTGGATTAGTCTTATATATTTCTTTTGTACTCCTTGCTCACTGACAGATTCCCAGACTTCATTATGTTTAAGGGAGTCAAAGGCCTTATTGTAATCTACAAATGCTATTGTTGTCCATACTCATGAAATTTTTCTGTTATTTGTTTTGTTACAAGAACATATTCTTGTAATAAGCAGAAGAGAAGCTGAGTTCTGAAAGATCATAATCTAGGGTCGAAAAGTTCTTTCAGAACTCAGCTTGTTTCCTGGGGTGATTTTCGTCAAAAGCTTGTATCATGTGTTTCGAGATTAATTTTGAGAAAACTTTGTATATGTTAGTCATTAATCTAATGGGCCAATAATTGTTTTATCGCCTTTTTGTGAAGAAGTGTGATTGTGGTCTTGGTCCATTGGTCAGGAATGACCTCTTTCATTTTCAGTTTATCATTGACTTCTTGACTTGATTCTTTTATTACATGCTTCTAAGTCATAAGCTGATGCCTTGTACTTACAATCTGCATGTGGATTCGCTCCATGTGACAAAAATTCATAACTAAAACATGAACATTGATGTCATACGGTGTTGGTATTTATTACATGGTCCACACTTGACTTATCGGTAGATTGCTTACAGAGTAGCCATAAGTAACACCTGTTCCAATAGTAATTAGTGTTGATTACTTAACATATTAAGTCAAAAACAAAATAATTATGCCAATTTCGAAACTATTATCATTTGATGAATATTTTACAACACAAATCGAGCTAATTAATTTTTATAATTAAATTTACATTCGTTTTGTTTGGCATAAAAATCTGTTAAGTACATTACATTTTGGCATGATTTAATTGGCAACAAACATTTTTTACACCTGTAGGTATAAGTAAGACAATATTCCTTTTGCTTCTGCTTAAGATGGTAGAAGAGAATGAAGTAGCCAAAAGTCTTCGGAACATTGTACCATTTGGTGTAATATTTGTTTGATGTGTTTGTACATCCTAAGTTTTTGTCACATTTGTACTGTGTTGGTGATGATGATATTGTATTTTATAATTTTACTTGCATACAAAAACGTATACTGTGTGAATGGAATATACCACAGGATGTACTCTATTACTGTGATTAGTTATCCCTGGAGTGTAGCTACTTATTGACTCCCCCCTTCTGTCTAGATGGTCCCTCCTTTAATTATATTTCATTGTTAATATTGAACATATTTATTTAGTAGCCTCTACTACTGAGTTGCTCTCAGGATTTACATAATCTTTGTATTTATTTCAGTGACTTGTAGAGAATGAACCATAGATTACTTTGTTATCATAGACTTTAAAATAATATACTAAATTTAAATTTATCTGACTGTAACGTAAATGTTGTATCGATGCAAATTATGTGTGGTGGGGCTGGTCTAACATAATTACGGATGTTTGTATTTACAGATCTTCAATCACCCCTTGAGGGCAGCCAGCAATGGTGGACTACTACAGAGTACTAGGCGTCACTCGGATTGCTTCCGAGGGGGAAATAAAGAAAGCGTAAGATTTTTTTACATAACAATTGACCATGTTTTAAGATTTGGAGACTGAATAAGAAGACCACTTGGTCAAGATATTGTTGTAGTTATTGTATAGCTGTCATATTACCACATGTCTAAAAATATGTTTGAATGTTTGCATCTCGTCTTCATAAAAGATATCAACAAAACTGCACATAAGTCAGTCCAATCGTAACATGTTGATGAGATCGCGAAGTCCATGAAAAATCTAAACTTTATATTATTACAGTTACAGGAAACTAGCCCTTAAATGGCATCCCGATAAAAATCCTGACAATGCAGAAGAAGCCAATAGAAGATTCAAAGAAATATCAGAAGCATATGAAGTTCTGTCAGATGGTATGTATGATATTTTTATGTCTACGTCATAAGTTATAAAAAAAAATGTTAAGGTTTAACACCTTTTTTTAATTGTTAAACATAATGTTGCGATGGGTCCTCAAAAGTACATGTTATTTTGTTCTTGGGTAGAGAGCAAGCGGAAAGTGTATGACGCTCGAGGATCCAGTCATCACACTCACAGATATCAAAGCAAGAATGGAGTCAATGGGCACCGACACTTTAGCTTCAAAGGGTTTTTTGGAGAGACGCCATTCCACCGCTTTTTTGGTAGATGACAAACTCCTGCAATATTGATTGCCTTAACTCTATGAATATTATCATGGCGTTATAATTTTAACAGCAATTAAGTTATTATCGCTTTATTTATCTACATTATGATAATATTCAACATTTGCGTACCTACCTACTTAAACATTATGCTAAACCTAACGAAGAAAACTAACTAGCCTATATTCTTGACTAACAGTGTGGTTTTAATTAACGAAGACTGTCGTTATGATGTGCGTTGAGTTTTGATAGTGAATCAATTTCCGCGTTACGTGGCCGGTGACGTTAGTTGTCTCGACGAATAGAAATAGGCGCACCGATAACTCATTATTGTTGTCATTTATGGCGGTGTGATACATCGAGTCTTTTCGGTAAAATCTGGGGAAGATTTCTGTTTAGGTAACAATGAATAAAATTCATAAATTAAATATTTGTAATAAATATTACAAGGGTTTTGTTTATTTCATTCACATTGATATGATAAAAATATAAATAAATATATATGTGATAAAAAAATTCAAATCGTATGAATATCTGAGGGATTGGTTATCTGTCTGAGATAGAGAAGTAAACGTAACATTTTTGTTTTGAACATTTATTTGTTAATCTCAGCTTTTTGTTGATTTTCGGATCAATAGTGCGCTTTGAACAAATTTGAATGCTAACACTGCCACTAAAAAAAATTGCTTTGTACATTGAAGGTTAGCTAGTTTAGAGAGCACATGATTCATATTACCGTGTTTCAGATAGCATGAAGTGCCGTTATCAGTTGTGTGTGTTGTGTGATTATTTTCTTTACAATTATGAAAACGTGTGTTGATACGGCCAGAACACTGAGATGAACACTAGTGAGGTAGTGATTAGTACATACATATCGAGTACTTATGATTGTTACACATTAGAAATGATGCTATTTTGTCTGACCTAAGCGGTTACACACTGCGACTTTTAGCAGCGATGCAAACGCGATGCAGTTGCTCAATCGTCTGCCACAACACACGCGCGCGATTTTTAAATAGCGATGCAAACTCTGCCGTCCACTAACTAAACTGCGGCTAGCTGACAAAATATTTTTTTGAGATATCGATTATAATAAAAAAACATAACCCAATTTTAGAATATTGAAATTGTTTAATGATATTTCAGCTATGTATCGTTAGGGTAAGTTCCGATAAGTCGAACACATTAACTAATTTAAACTGTTTTTAAAAGATAATTTTGTGCTCTAGTTTTTGCTATTTAAAACGGTTATTGTGTGTATCGCTACACGGGGATTTATAGGCGATTGCATCTATGCAATGGCGCGTTTGTATCGATGCAGTCGCGCGTTTGTAACCACTCTAAATCGAGTATATTTGGTATTTTTTCAAACAAACTACGTTTCTGGCCCTTTACAGGTCCCAACTAAACGTTGGTTTGTTTGGAGAAACAAAATATACTTACGCGATCCGAAAAAGTATTCTCATTTCTAAATGGATACTTGTTTAGTTAGTATTTATCGATTAAAGTTTCTATTATAATTACATCATTTGCAGGCAGTTAAAAGAAGTATGTCCCTGTTATGTTTATCGTTTTTTATTAGTTTTTAAATTCGAATATAGTTAATAAGTCACCTTTATCGTAATTGTTTTGATTTGGAAAATAATTGATAGTTTTGCCATTCAATTAGAGAGAAGATAATAAGTAAAGCAAAGGAAAGTTCATTAACGTGCGTCTATTGTGTTATTAAACCCGAGTTTTAAATGTTTATCATGTTTTACACAGTAATGTAAAAACTGAAGAAATCGGATATGCGTACATTGACCTTGCAAGTAATTAAAAGTATCTGCACAAAAAATGTTCATAAGCGTAAAAGTTGTTCCATTGTTTATTGACGTGTATTTTGTTTGAATGCAGAGAGAAAGCGGCGGGTGTACGATCAATACGGCAAGGAGGGGCTGAGCAGCAACAGGAGCCGCCGCGCCGCCGCCGACGATGATGATCCCGAATTTGGCTACGGCTTCCCATTTACATTCCGAGACCCAGAGGAGGTGTTTAGAGAATTTTTCCGTGGCTCTCCTTTCGGCGATTTATTTACTGGTAAGCTTATACCTCATATGCGACTATCGCGTCAAACGAATTCACTGTAATGCAAAAGAAACAGTATTTCGAGAAAAAGCAGCAAAAAAGATTTTACCGTTTTATATAACTTTTGAGGTTAATGTAACATTAACAATAATACATAATTATAATTTAGTTTAAAAAAAACCGATCTCTAAAAGTTTGTTTATCCCTTTTTCGGTGTGTTTTAGTTTCATTGGAATTATTGAAATTATGGAATTGAAACGGAAAGTGGGTGAAATTCAATAAACAGAATCCATCCCCTAATTGGCCACCCTTACTGGTACCGTAAACCGAGGTTACTTTGATCAATTTTGAAATTTAAAAGTCTATAACTTTTTAACTTGTGATTTTTTTTAAATAAAAAAAATGTCGAATTATCGGTTTTAATAGTTCTCTCTAAAAACGTTAAAAGAACAAACAATTTTTCAATACTTTTTGGGAAAAAAAATAAAAACAGCGTGATTAAAGTTATAATTGATTTGGGGTTACTTTGAAACCCCCCTTTTTTAGTATGAATATTGAAACTAACCCCAATTACTATCCTAAAACAGAAAAAAAATTAAAAGTCAGTCAACAGGGAAACAAGTTATTGCTGTTTTTATATCTTGGGGTAACTTTGATCGAATAAAACTACTAAATATGACAGGACCTTTGTTTTAATTAGAGATTTTTGTTATTTATTATACAAAGTTCCATAGGATGTATTATAAAGCTGTGATGTCTCATGATTGAGTGATGATGAGTGATGAGTCTCATGGTTAGGTTACCGACCACGATTTGACTCAATGCTTCTTCTAACCTGGCTTCTCTAGTAATTTCGGTACTCGGGAACTTAGTTTTCAATTACATGTTTAGTTTTATGTTCGTGGCATCGTTCTCAAAACAAATAATATACAAAAATTAAAAGCAAAGCCACAAAGCAAATTTTCCTGCTAGCGGTTGGGGTGACTTTGACACTTCAATCAATCTCACACCATGCACCCTATCAATGACACACGCATAAAATAAACCGACGCAAACGAAAGCATCAAGGTTAGAACAATAAAAAATGTACAATACTCTTTTGATTCTATCCAAGAAATTCATGATACTAACACACACTGAGCTGCACATGAAGTTTTGCAACACATTTTTTTAATTAAAAATAGGTTGTAACGGAAAACTTACCTTTTTGAACATAAAATACAGGGAAATCTCCAGCGCACCCGCAGATGTGAACTTGACTGTTTATCAGTATTGCCACCCGAAAAAAAAATCTCCCAAAAGTAGCTGTCTTTTACGCAATTTGAAAGGTATAAAAACATTTATGAAGCAGTAACGGCTACCGACAGTTGTGACTATAGTCGTTACAAAATAAGAGGCACCTTTTGACACTTGTCATCGCAACGTAAATAGGGGTGTGAACTAAACACATTATACATACGCGCTCCGCTCCGCGCAAATCTCCTAAGGGAAAAAATAATCCCCGTGTTCCTGTCTCTGAAGTTGTAAAACCACAGAGGCAGATCGACCTGTGTGACGAGGACGGCTTCACAAAAGTGGAGAGAAGAAAAAGAGGAAGCCCACCAGCCGTAACCAGTGTGGCACAGCACCGACAGGACCGAACTTCCTGTTGCGTCCGGCCACACCGACGACGCTGCTGTACCTGTCGCGGCTGCATTACTCCACGAATTCTGAGGAGATAGTGGAGTATATCAGACATAAAGCCAAACACACCCTGAGGATCGAGCGGTTGGAGTCCCGCCACAACGTGAATTTCAATTCGTTTATGGTGAGAGTACCGACCGAACCTCTGTCGACCTTCATGAAGGAAGAATTTTGGCCGAAGGGTGTCTTATATCGGCGGTTCAGCGGCCGGTTACCTGACACCAGATTGCGCCACACGTCGCCGACAAGTGCAATTCGTGTAGATTAGTTACAAATAGTATTTTATTACATTGTATGTATGTTAGTCCTTAAGGTATATATTATATGGGTCATGTGGCCTGAAATAAATAAATAAAAAATATTGGTAACCATATTAACGATTTTCACGAGAAATCGGTTAAAAGTTTTATGAGTCTGCGGTGGTTTCGATCATTTTTCGGGTCATTGGTTTTGTGTTCCAGATAGAACAATATCAACAGTTATTTGAGTAATATAGAGTACAATATAAATAATTAGTCAGTATTTTAAATGATTACAATGACGACCTGTAGTTGTTATTGTAGTGTAGTTAAGTGAGATAAATGGGGACAACGTGTATAATTTAGTTAAATAGCAAAATTCTGAAAACGAAAAAATCTTCATATGTAAAGTTTATATTCTATTAACTTTTATCAAAAGATGAGCCAAAACCATCGGTTGGGCTAGTATCACCTGTATGTATAATTATTTGATTTTCAATCATATTATCAATGTTAACATCCCGGTATGGCACGGTTTGCTACAAGACGTCGGTTCGAATCCGTCCGGATCGAAGGAATTTTTTCTAAGTGTTCTATCTTTGTATTAATAATTATAATAAACTAGTGAGTGGAGTAATTTCACAAAAAATAATTGAAAATCAATTCAATAAAAATTTAATCTCGATCAAAATCAAAATTTAAATATGAGTGAAATTGAATTGACTTGATAAAATTCGGCGATTAATTGGTTACTTAAGAAATGGATTGAGTACATAACTGTTTTTAAGACGTTTCAGACTAACTGAAAATTGCATTTTATTTTGGAATAATAATTGTTTGTTTACTGTTTCGTTGATTGCATTCAGTCTTCCTTAGCTGTCAAATTGGGCCTCTTACAGTGTGACGACTATAGTAGAGATTGCATATGAATAATTTAGGAAAAATACCCAATTTTGTTACGACTAATTTACTAAGATATTAGCTACTTTTTGTATTATTCTTTTACATTGTTTTACCAGATTAACAATAACAATACCACAGTAATACCCAATATACCAGAGATTATAACAGTTATTTAATATACTAAATAAAGTTACATACAAATACTTTTAAATTAAAAATAAAATAAAGGGTGATTTGTGTAATACTTTTTACGTCTCAATGGCATGCACTAAAATTATGTGGTGTGAAAACCGTTTATAAAGTAGAAACAGAATGAGTTGCGACGAATTAAGGAGGATTAGACTATTTGTACAATATCGTATTATCATGCAATGAACAAATAAAGCATGCACCCATGTCGAAATTACACAGTTGTGTAAATATTGCTACATTTGTACTCAAAAACGGGAAATATCGGAACTTCTTTGTTATCGAGAAACTAGTACTAAAGATTAAATCACAGTGTGGGATATATATTTTACATAGAATTCTCCTGGTGGAATTTCACCACCGATTTTATATTACATTTTCATTTGTAAATTTATCTTTGGCATTTACTTCCGATGTTAGGGCCCTAGAGTTACCAATGTAACAAAAGAAAATAGTACGTTGTCAAGAGCACGTTCAGCTTGACACTTGATATTATATTCAACTCCGTGGTAGCCCAAGGCTAGTTTAGTTTAGTTAGAGCAGTGCGGATTTATTTGCGACCGTCCGCGCGGAGCACCGGAATGGAGTACCACGTGTGGCGTTAGAACATTGTTTTGCTTTGTACTGTAAGGAACACGCCCCGCGTGAACTCCGCACAAGCCACCCGTGCATTCATTATAGGCTACTGTCTTCCGCACTAAATTAAATACTCGATTCAGAGCACTGCGGATTCTACGCATGCGGTTGGCCCGCAGGCGGACAGTCCGTACGGATCGTACGCATAGCTGTGAAACTAGCCTAATGGTTTGACCTACTGTCTCTCGAGCAGAGGACCTGGTTTCGAATCCGGGTTCGCACCTCTTGAGTTTTCGGAATTTATGTGCATAATTTAATTTGAAATTTACCATGAGATTTTCGGTGAAGGATGAAACCATGTCGACCCGCATTAGCTCCGCGTGGCGGACTTGGCCCTAAGACCAAGCCAGTATCTAGTTTGTACGTTACACAATTGGCCATCAAGTTCATTATGCAATGTACAATATCGTTACAAAAATTCGCTTCCGTTCCGTTCTGTCGCTATATAAATGGAGCCTATAGGCTCACTGTGTGTCGTTTTTGATTCGTAAGGGTAAACCCTTGCCTGAGAGGAGACCCGTGCTCAACGCTGGGACGTATAAATGGGTTGATGTTGATGTTGTTGGTGCTTGCGATAAGAACGGCCCAATGTTCAAACTGCCAACTTGGTGACTCAATTTTTTTTAAATTTATGATATCAAGCGACGGGACGAACAAGTGCACCTGGTTTAGAATGACACAAGAGCTTAAAATTGCAAAGAACTAAAGGGTCGGCTACTGCTCCCGCCTCACTGAGATATTAAGTTAACAAGTTCCATATGCCTGTAGTTTCACCAGCTACCCTTACCAATCAAAAGCGACACACAGTTATCGTTTGAAACGTCATTGTTCCACCTTTCATGATGACTTCTGTAAACTGTTATACACCAGGTACTCCGGAATCTCGAGTACAACAAATAGGTTTAAGTACTTCAACTTAAAAACGATATATAAAAAGTGATATATCCTGGAAGTAAAATATTACAGTTATCTTGTGACCTCAAAACTATATATCGCAAATAGATACGTGGAGTCATCGATAACAAATTCAATTCCATACAAGTATTTGTTTTCTATATGCATTGACCTACTAATGTCTACATGCGTTAAAGAGGAATGACGTATCTGATTGTAATTATGATTTTATCTTGTGTGGATAAAACAGATTTTAAAACAGCATCGAATATTACAATTCTTAAAATGAACAATATAAAAAAATCATACATTATGCTAATAGACTTGCTGCACCTTATTATAAAACATAAACACCGTATCAACCTATTTACGTTCCAAAGTTGACGACAGGCCTATTCTAAAGTATCTTTGGATATCAGGAAACATAACGTTGGCTAAATTCGTAAACTTCGTACCTCCATCAATGTGGGCTTTTGGGTAGACACGAAAAACAGAAACACTTGAAATAAGATAATCTATCCTCCTAAGACCCAGCAAACCGCAATAGAATAAGCGCTAAACGCCCAATGTACTTTAAAATGTATTAAATCTAATTACTTGCTTCAGGCCCAAGGAAGTATGCCCTTAGTTTTGTATGAAAAACGTATTTTTCTAGATACCATAGGGTCATGGTCATATGGAATACATGAGCTAAATTTGAATGCGGTATTTTCATTATAATTATACAGTGGGCGTTTACGTCATCATAAGAATAATATTCTCTGGGTCTGAATCACTTCACATATTAAATACATTACGTGTACATTTGTACACGGGGCCTTAGGAGCCTATGATACCTATATTTTTGAACTAAAAAGAATCTAGAAATTTTGCCCGATATTATTAGGGATTTCGTCCAAAAACCCAACGATAAATTTTCCATCGTTATAGCGAACCATTTAATAATAATGTGTAAGACATTACTTTAGGTCAACAGTACCTCTACAATGAGTTTACAAAGACAGTTGTCTAATGACCTCGTAAAGTATGTATACACAATATTACTACTTTATGACCACTAGGGTCACTCTACAATTATACATCTTGAACTAAAACCTGAACACTAAACCGGCAAGAATGTACTAATTACGGATTTTTAATATACCTTGATAGTAAAACTTCGATAGTCTTGTTTGCAATGATGTCATCGGTAAATAAGATTATTTACTCAAGCGCAGTTTACATGGAGCCATTTCTGTAAATGTGAAAAAATACTTCATAGATAAAGTTTGATACTGGAATTCGTTTATTTTTTGTTCACCTGGATTTTTTTAGTGTAGTTTTTTAAACGAGAGAGGTTAGTGTCACATTGCCAACACTCGATAAATCCAACCTCCTGGCATCTTTCCGTTATTTACAATGCATATTTACCGTGATTTTTTACTTAGATAAAGTAATTCGTTTGTATGCTATAATAGACCCATAATGGTTAATCAAGTCATTATCATCAACCAACCCATTATATGTCCCACTACAGGTCTCCATTACGGAGAATTAGCACGATGCGGGTTGGAAATTTCACACGTTTTCCGAGGGTCGTGAACCTTCTTCGAAGTGCAGATTAAGAGCAGTAGAGCTCTGTGTGAAAGATTTCGTCCAGGGATGTAGGTACTGCCACCTTACTTATTTCCGCCGCCAAGCCGTAATGTGAGCATTACGGCGTTTCGATTACGAAGGGCAAATAAAGGTGCTGGTGAAGTTACAGGCACATAGGACTTGTGAACTTATCTCTCAGGGTGACGGGCGCAGTGGCAGTGCCCCTCAGATCTTTGTGATTCAAAGCTCTGAGTGGCACTGCAATTGTTGTGGACAGGCGTGTCGCATACCACCAGGCGCACGACTTGTTCGTTTCGTCACTTAGAGCCTATGCACACGGCGTATTATAATACGTTTAAACAATCTACACTAATATTATATTATGCGCCGATGACACGCGTCCGCGCGTCATCTGCTCGTATACGCTGTAGCCGCGCGTATGTATCGCATATTTTGATAACAGATAGTTTGAATTTTAGTATTGTTTGTTAATTTCAGTTAGTTTTGGAAATGAAGCAACTACTTGAAATCCTAAGTGTAAACTCCACTGGAGTATATAAGCTTCTTGCTTACAACGCGATGTTTGTGCGCGTTTGAATCGCTTCACTACAGCGCAGATGACGCGCGTTTACCGCGGTCGTAAAACGCGCGTCGTCGGCGCGTATAAAATAAGCCGTGTGCATAGGTTCTTAGTATCATAAAAGAATAAAGGTTGTACCATTATGTTTTCCTCCACCATAAACATAACGTATTGTTGAAGTTTCAAAAATGTGCTTAGAAACAACCGTTCTTACGTGAGTCAAGTGGCGTGTTTTAATACTTTTTATCATCCATTTCAGTAATCAATGACGGCGGCCACGGACACGGACACCGCCGGCATAACATGGGTGTCGCGGAACACGGCCACGGTCGGCGCGGGCACCACCCGGGGGCACTAAGCTCGTCTTTCTTTAACTCGTTTGGGTTGGGCACGCACGGCCTAGACGACATGTTCGCACATGCCGCGTCTAACGGAAACGCGTTCACGTCGTTCTCTACATTCAACAGCTCCCTAGCTGGGCCCGGCAGCACCAACGTGAGGAGCACTACAACTACTACACGCATAGTCAATGGGAAAAAGATTACCACTAAGAAGTACGTAAAATTTATACTCCGTAAAGAACAATGGTGAGACTATTGTTAAAACAATTCTTCAGCGTCTTAATTAAACGTTAGAATAAAATAAATGCATTAGATTTTTCAAATTATACTAAAGCTCTTTCTAAGTCTAATTTGTATGTAACCGGACTGATATCTACAACTGTCACTTTCTTAATGTGGAGCGAAATCTAACTGCCAAAAAGCTTTTCAATATTTACGTATAGTTTGGTCCACATTAATTTAGTTCACGTAATATGAAATGCACTGTTTCGACCGATTTACGATAAGAGATTAATTACTTTATTGCAAAAAACAAAGTAGGTAATTCTTTTTCCAAATATGCCACGCGAGAAAGTAGTAAAACTGACAAAAAAGTACTTGATGTCTGGGATAGATGACATGTTTCACAATAAAAATAATATGTGTCTGAGTTAGGTACCAGGACATGGCAATGTAGTCATCGTTTTTTTTTTGTTATGGCATACCATATAAGAAATATATTCCTCTGAACTTTTTTCACGTCACAAACTGTATAAGGCTTCTGTACTTTCTTTTCATATTATATACACCGAATATATTTTATTAAATTATCTAGAATATAACCTTTAAAACTTAAAACTGGAATTTTTAATTGTAGACTTCTCAGAATAGCAAATCCAAAACCAAATTTGTTCAGATAATAAAACTCTACATTTTCACATATTTCTCATAAACAGGCGCATACAAATTATGTTAACAAAAATTCATATGGGAGTTCGCCATTGTTCTTTAGCTCCATTTAGAGGTGGTCATTATTACAATAACAGACAATGTAAAAATTATTTAATGTAACAGATAATGTAAGAATAATAACTCATTATCGAATAACTAACCAACCTACTGTTGTTATCCTGTTGCGGCGTCGTGCAAACTAGCAAGTATGCAATAGCAACCTACTCAAATCTCGCAAATGAAATAGAAGAAATAGCGCTACTTAAATCATTTGACTATGTTACAATTTACAAATCTTACGATTATAATCTTTCAGTGAACAAGTTGAATATTCCAAATTTAGGAGGGCGGTGTTCGCTGTAAATACCTGAACCATCGTACACTATTCTCGTTGCAACTTGTGTCAGAGTACCAACATGCTAAGTTTTGTTCCTTTGTTTCAGGGTAACGGAGAATGGGCGAGAGACTGTAATGTCTTATGAAAACGGGGTCCTCAAATCAAAGACTGTCAATGGCGTACCTCAATCTTTAACATACAGTTAAATAATAACTTATAAATAATTACTAACCAAACTTGATCCAAATGTAAACTCTGTACTCAATCTTAGAGTTACAAGTTCCAACTTTTAATATTAGTTTTGCTTAATCTAAAAATGTGTAGATACAAATACACTATAAATTTTAGTGATGACAACGTCTAAAACAAACTTAATTCTAGTTGACTTAGGTTACTGTAATTGCTTTTTTTTATGATTATTTTAACTTTAAATTGTAATCGAGATATGTGGTATTTCGCTCAATCTTGCATACCTGTGTCTCACACGACATTGTGTTCTTTGTTAGTCGCAATTATGTTGATCTCCAACCATACGAAAGCGCTCGACACAATCGATCTACAGTGAGTCAATGAAGTATTTCAGTCCTGTATTCTGAGGCGACGATATTTTATATTTTGCTGCCAAGTTTGATAAAAGTAGTTTTAGTCATATAATCACTTTATTTTGTTTAGGTTTTTTTTATTGAAACAAAGCACACAGCCATTATTACATAATTCAAATGTACTTTCTAACGCATATTACTTCTATTTTAGGTAATGCCTAATATGCGAATAATTAAAATGTATATTAAGCTATTTTATTTGATGGCATTTTAATTTCCTAACTTGAGTAAGCCTCAATTTCGGCATTGATTTAGTGAAAAGAGCTTTAATGTTCGGCAAATGTCTAGATAATGTTTTTGTAAAATGGTCGAGTTTCGACCACTTAAATGCACTAGGTCAAATAAAATCAAAGGTGTTTAATGCATATTTTTCTTATAGTAAAGTGAAGCTCTATAGCTGCATTGCAATGATATCTGAATCCAACAAGTTACGCGCTTTGCAAAGGAGTGACATGATTTTCTGTATTGTGGATGGGTCATCTCTATCATGTTGCCCAAATCATGCGCAACATATTGTCATGACACGTCATAATTATGAATATCTAATTTTTATTATTGTTGGATTCATTTAAAAGCTGGAACTTCATTACCTGGTATATACTTTTTATGTACCTTTCGTTATTTAATATTTTAGTGTACAAATTCAAAAACTTCATCATAGTAAAGTACGCCTGTGTGATTAAGAAACTCATAGTTAAATTAATTATACCTTATTAGTTACGAATTAATTAATAAAATGAAAACGCTGTCCAATAATGACTGACAGGCAAATTCAGTACTTAACCATCACACATCTGTAACTTTCGTTTCGTTTTGATCAGTTCAGTGTAATTTACATAGGAACGAGAATGTTTTAATACGATTTTTGGATGAGACAGCTGCCTTTTACACCAACAGAAGTGCCATTGCGATGAAATCGTGTTTAAAGGCGGCGTTATTGAAGGGTAAACTTAGTATAGAAAATGTAAATATTCGTTTGCCCAAAGATCTCGTTTCGTATAAATTGTCAGCAAGCACGCAAGGGGAATGAATAAATAAAAAAATATTACACACTGTTTTATTTCACTATATTTCTTATTTATAGACACATAGATTATTTTTAAGAACATGTTTAAAGAGAAAGTTCAGCTCGAATAATTATCGACAAAAACATTAATAACATCACACATTCCGATATTCTGTTGATTTGTAGAACGTTTTAAACTTTAACTATTAATAATGTCTTTGACATAGAAACTGAATATATTATCTATCAATATATAAACCTATTTCAAAATAAGGCTCAATTTATATTGCGCAACGAAATGGAAGCGAATTTTTATAACGATATTGTACATAGTATAATGAACTTTATGGTCAATTTTAATAATTATTAATACAAAAAACGAACATTTAGGCTAAATTTATATTGCGGCGGAAAAATTCCTTCGATCAGATATGGAGTAATTTCAGAAAAAGAAAATTGAATATGATGGTAGTGTAACTTTGTGATATTCAATATAAGCTTCATATTCTTGTCTAATGTAAAACTAGCCATGAGCCAAAAAAACAGGTCGCGCGTCTTTCGGAGAATTTTTGCGCATGCTCGAGAATGCTCGTGCATCCACGAGAATTCCCGCAGCTGCCGTTGCAGACGCCTGACGTATTCGCGGGAAGTGGCGCGAAGGCAGGCGCAGTGCGACTTCAAACGTCGTCGAAATAGGATCTGATCATACTGTGACAGAAAAAAACATGGATTCAGATTAAAATTTTAATCTATTTGGTGGAAAAATATGATTGTTTGTACAATGTAAAAGCAAGAAATTTTAGCGACAAAAACTCTAAGAATAACGCAATGGGAAAAGTTATAAAAAGTAGGTGAATAGAGATGTAATTCTTTGCAAAATGCTTATACTAAGCAAAAAGTTTTCGATAATTCAAGAACCCACAACCTTTTTCCCTTTTCTCTTTCAAACCCTGCATGTCGCAGTATAGGACTCATACCACTGTTATCTAGGCAAAACAAAATTTATTCGTTTTTCAAAAGACAGCTTAATATCTAATGTACAAAGCAAGTTAAGCTGTCTTTTATGTTGTTAATCAGACAAATTAGGAAAAGCAGAAAAATCCCTTTTTGCAGCATTATCTCAAAATGGTGTTTTTGATATTACAGTGTATTAGTTTGACACGGTAGTTCTAAGCAAAATAAAAACAATATCAAAGTCCATTATTCTTGTCATGTAAAAGATCTAGACTAAGCAAATAAAATCCTAGTACAGGCTCAAGGCGCAGTCTTGGTGATTCCTGCGATAACGCGCGCTTTCTTGCGCAGCGAGGATAATTTCGTTTCCGTTTTGACGAAATATAAATTGAGCCTTAAATATTTAAGGTAATACTTTTTAAATGTAGTCCACCTTTACATCTCAAACATAAAATACTATTTAATAGAATAATTCCTTTGTACTATTTAATAAATGTTTTAAGAAGTACAGTCAACGTCAAAGTTATAACGTTTATACGTTTTTTTTAGAAAACTTCAAATGCATTAAAAATTTTATGCGCTAAAAGTCTCGTTAAAATATATTAATAATTGATAAAGCGTCTTAAATCTCAATATATTAAAAACAACCTTGTCAATTGTGACAATGAGTTGTTACAAGATTAGTTTTCATAAATATTTAGATATTTTGGAACACTTTGAACACTCGGACATTTTTATGCCCACAGTACGTTACACTTATGAATGCCATACTTGCCTACACTGGACACTTTTTAGTGATGTTTGTTTGTTATAAAACACCACTAAATAAGAATACCTATTTCATTAAAATACATTAAAATATACTTAATAGTAAATTTTAAATAATTACAAATATGTGCCGCGGGTGTTGTACATTTCCCAATGTTGGCGGTATGTGCTGACCACAGGCATATCATTGGGGTATTCTGCCTTCTTCTCGTCGTTGGGCACGTATGAGAAGCCATCGAAATGAGTGAACTCGTAACCAATGAAATCTTCAAGATGGGCCAGACGATTCGGGTCTGACGATTCAATCAAATTTTCTGTAATGAACATTAAGGAATGATTTTTACTTCTGAGAGCTGTCTGAAATGCGTTAGCGGGAATGCTATAAATTTACAGGGCAACGGGGATTGCGCGTATCTCATTCCAGTGTCATCACAATTTAGTATTAAAAATGTAACATTAAGGATGTGCCTTATTCTAGCGTGACCATAACCGAGTATTGGAAATTTGACTATTTTTTATTTATTTTATAAAAGTTTCCTCGGTATTCCACAATTGTTTCTATTAGATGTCCAGTTATCAGATTGCGATAACTGTGCGCCGTTTCAAAGTTCCAAAGGTCTACTCACATCAGCGGTATTGTTCACGGAATAAGGTTATTTCGGCGGCACCTTTCTTCAATTTCAAAATAGTTGCGATTGTAAGTTCTAGTCCTAAAACACTAGATTTTGTCGGTACGCCCACTTTAAAGTTTCATTATAAAATCTTGAAATAGCATCTAGCTCGCTTAATACAAATACCCATGTTTTTTTTTTAATATTATATGTATTCTTTTTAAAGACAAGTAAAAAGAAAACAGTACATAGCTAAGATCATAGAAGTAGATAAATTAGATTGATGTTAATAGATCGAAGGAAATATTAAATAAGGCAATGTGAAATAGCAACAATATAGAAAACGAGCCCTGTACCCCACCTACGGTGGGGTCGGGCTCGGCCTGCGGCGCGAGATCGGGTTCAGTTTACGGGGTATGATTAAGCTCCTCGATGGCACAGCAGTTTGTACTACGGGCGCTTGATAAGGAGTTCGATTCCCGATTTGGGCCAATTTAAGAAACGAACATTAAATTTGTAAGTTGGTTTTGGTCTGAGTATTCTGGGTTATCGTTGTGTCGATATTCATAGTACAGGAAATTCGGCAGCAGTTTGGCATTTTTTTCCCCCCATATACTTCTTTTTGGCATAGCTTTCAAGAAAATGGAATCTAACAGAGAGACGATCGAGATACAACAAGGCTATAATAAGTATCTCATTTCCACTACATCGGGAAGTATGCCTTACATTTTTACAATTGTGAGATCTTATACTCGTAATCTATTACGCCTCCGTGTATTATCTCCATCGCGACTTGTTATCTACATCCCTACGGCCTCGGCACTTATCACTTTGTTTTATATAATTGAAATTACTCTTTAATGGCGGCTATATTTAAAAATTGCAAAAATATGTTTTGTACCACAAATTTTTATCAAACAATCTTAGAAATCTTTTCGTGCCAATTATCATTTCAAGCAAAGCAAGTTTTTTCAACAGCCATTTACATTAAAAATTACGGTTATATCGAAAAACGGCGGAAACAAAATTTTTTCTCGAAATTATGATTGAAGCCATAACATTTTCAGTTGAATTAGAAAAAAAATTATCTACCACCAAAAAAGTTTGTATGGCAGCCATATTGAAAAATGGCGAAAAATAAATTTTCACCGCTAATTATGATTAAACACTCCTAGAGACCTCGACATGTCCATTTTCAATCGAATTAGAGCAAATTTTTATCTGCCGCTAAAAAGTGTGTATGGCAGCCATATTGAAAAAAATTGGACCGCAAATTATAATCAAAAACTTATAGAGAGACCCCCACATACCGATTTTCAGTTGAATTAGAGCTAATTTTTATAAACGCTTGTTTGGCGGCCATATTCAAAAATGGCGAAAAACCAATTTTGATCACAAATTATTATCAAGCACTCCTAGAGACCCCCATATGCCAATTTTCAAAGGGATCTGAGCAATTTTTTTCTGCCGCCAACGAACGCTTCTATGACGGCCATATTTGAAAATGGCGAAAAACTAATTTTGAGCACAAATTATTATCCGGTACTTCTAGAGGCCTTCACATGCCAATTTTCAGCCGATTCCGAACAAATCTCTTTCGGCAGCTATTTTTAGTGAAAAAAAACCCTTATATGGCAGCCATATTAAAAATAGCGAAAATAAACTTTTGACGCCAAATTATGATTAAGGACTCCTAAAGACCTTTGCATGCTAATTTTCAGCCGGATCGAAGCAAGTTTTTCTTCGGCCGCCATTTTTGAATCGCAATGTTGAATTTTTTTAACCAAGGCAGTTGACCAGTGTTACCTCTATGATATTCCTTCAAGCACCTCCTACCTATCTCAATAGTTTCCGTGATAGGAGGCTTTGAAATTTGTCTGGCGGCCATCTTATTTAATTGAATTTCGAACATTTTTTACTTCCCGCGGAAATTGACCAGGGTATACCTCATAAAAATGTACAAATATTCCTTCCGTATATTATAGTTTTTGCAGGCCGTTGATCACTCTTTCATATTTTCCATATTCAGGTCCTCTCATATTTGATTCTTTGCTTTGGAGCCTATCCGCGTACAACGGTATAAATATTTTTTTTCCACCATTTTTTGTCGTTCGCCATCGGGAAGTACGCGTTCTATTTCTATCAGTGAGTAAGAACTTGTAGCTTTATATATAATAATAATAATATCATGTAAATATTCTGTCACTATTATAACGACTCTGTGCAACTTCTCTCCAAAAGGTACTGACTGTGTATATCCATGTATACAGACCCCTATGATATAGCAACTCAAATGATGATTATTACGACCGTGCAAGCTATGAAAAGACTCTGATTGTGTCAAAGGACAACTGGCAATGTATACATTGAATAAAAAAAAATACCTACCCATGTGAAGCATTGGAGTTACGAGTACTTGAAAATACTATCGGACCCACTAGCGGAACCAACAGTCTCAAGGATTATTTTCAATACTCGATTATGATGACGCTGATAAGCACGAGTAGATTTTGCCCAGGATACCCCGTACGAAAGTACGTCATGCTCCTTTACAAACTGAAACCACGCGCTGAGATTGTTAAAAAAAGTCTTACCTTGGGCAATATATCGCTCCGAAAGATCAGCAGCAATAACATTATAGAAGGGTTGATTATAGCCGTATTCGAGAGATTGAAGGTCGACATTCCTTTGCCATTCGACGGCGCAAGTGAGGTCCCATCCTCGAACTAAGCAAATGAACCCATATGACTGGTGGCAGCAAATCATGCCCACCGCAAATCTAACGCAGCTGTCGCGCTTTTTTACGGTAACCTAAAATAAATTATTCGCGTTTACATTATGATATTCTCCTAATTTTCTAAATATGGTGATATTATATTACTACAGGCGATCGAGTACATAACAGGCCTACCGCTTTAACTGAACTCGGTTCCTGAAGTGACAGTTTACATAACATTTATGTAGCACTACACAAGGGATAATTTAAACAAGATTTTTCTGACGATATTCAATAACAAGATGATTGAATAAAATGCCTACCAAATTAGACAATTGTTATGTGAGAGGATAATACACAAAAACTTTCATTGATAATTGAAATGAATAGACCGGCCTTTAACACTTTTTTCAATCAACTTGTTATTGAATATCGTCAGAAAAATCTTGAATATATCCCGTATGCAGCGCGTCATAACGGTTACGTAAACTGTCACTCCACACGCACCGCGCAACAACTTCAAGAACCGACTCAGTTAAGCGGTAGGTTTGTAAATATATTATCTCTATTGAACACTTATATCACAATATAGATTTTAAGGATTTCGTGGTTATTCACTAAATGATTGTCACTAATCGAGATATTTCGGACCAGTTACACGCTCCATGTATAGTATAATAAGACCAAGTAGGGCAACTTCCGCCTGTTTGGTTCATCAATACCTCACTCCACTCAGATTCTAGGGTTGTCACATTATTATTTTAGTCGTATAAGGCATTCATCAGTGTTTTCGTGCTATATTGAAAATAACCTGTCAAATGCAATACTAAATATTGATATGTTTATACCAGCATGAAATGAGAGTTTGTAATAATTAGAACTTAGCACAAAGAAACAAAGCAGAACAAGAAATAGATAGAGAAAACCTTTATTCACATATACACATAAAGGAATACTTTACGAACAGACACAAACCTGCAAACACGCTTAGGGTCGTATTCTAGAACTCTACTCAATGCTCAAGTCAAGCTCAAGGGATTGCACTGGAAATACGACCCTAATGGCAGGGACTTGAGTATGATTTCGAGTGCTTTAAACCATACTCAAATCCTGACTTGAACATTGAGTAGAGTTCTAGAATACGACCCTTAGTTTGCTGGATCGAGTTTTAAAGGTTGACGTGCGCGTGTCTTAAGATATTATTATATACGTTCGGCGAGTTCTACAAAAATCAGTGCATGCATATAATTATAATGGCGCACACAAAATGCTCAGTGTACGGATGTAATTCGAAATACAACAGGGATTTAAAATTTCCTAGAGTTATTTGACATATTAAGTGCAGTATGTTCATGTTTACACCATTCTTTTTCCGTTCACACACACATAGTTAAATTTAATAATAGGAAACTGAAGCAGTGCGAGACTTGTAAATCTTTATTACTAGATAAGTATATTTAATAATTAAGAGTGTATTGACAAGTAATAATTATTGTTAATCAATGATTTAATTACGTTATAATAATAATCAATATTTTTGTTTCCATTTTGTGACAACCCGCGTGTGCCTATCTGCGTATGACAGCGCAAGTACCCGGGCGATGGTCCCGCCGAACAGACCTTGCTCTTACTGTAGGGAGGATATTGTAATACTATACTTATACATGCCTACCTAAGTTACGTAGTGATACATTTCGTCAGCTAAATTTGAAAATCTCGTAGTTCCGGTTTTGGACGAATTACCTTTTTTAATCTCAAGTGCAACATCGGCCAATTAGAGCTTTTTGGTTATGAAACAAAGATTGTGAAATAATTTTTTCTAGTATTTTTTCTGTTTTTTTGTGCCTTCTGAAAAGTTAATTACACTAACATTAACATAATGAGGGTTACCTATGAGGTTTACGAATTTAGTAGACGATTTGTAACTTAGGCTACTGTGATAACAAGCTTTAAAATCCTTTGTTCGAAATTATACTTTACGTCATTTACATTAAATGCGTTAAAATTTACAGTTTCAAGAAGTCAAAACCACAGCAAGTTGGACATTTTGGATTTGTTATCGTAATATGCATAGAGTGGAATTTAAATCTTGGATTTAAAGTGTCTAACTTGGCATGATTTTGACCCCGTATAACATCTCTTTGCTTCATTCGTTATTTTATTTTGTAATCGTCATAATACACAAACAAATTATCGCTAATACACTTACATTTTCTTTTTTGGTCCTTTGTGTCTTATTCAAACTTGTCAGTTCATGGATCAATTGAATGTGTAATTCATGCAGCTGGAAAATTAAACCACATTAACATCTCAGTATGTTAAGTTTAGAAAGAAAAAAAAAATGGAAATAAGTTTCAACAAAATTACAGTTTTCTTGTTTTATCATTTTGCGAATTTTGTGGAATCCATTGAATAATTAATAACATTGAACAAATAATAAGAAATATATAACAGTAATATTAGTAATAGTATTATAATACACCCTAGAATGTTATTTGGACTCGATTTCATTTACATGAATGCATAAAAATATAATTTATATACATACATATTTGTGATCGAGAGGAATGTTGATTGTACGTAGATGCATCGAGTCCAACAGATACGGAAGAAAGTTTCTGTAATTGTTATACCCGCTCACGAAATCCAGGAGATGCACAGCATTCTGTGTTTGCCTGAAGTTCAAAATGTTAAATGTTTTATTGAATGTGAGGATGTTTCACCACCATGATATTCAATTACTTTTTTTGTGAAATTACTCCACTAGTTTATTATAATTATTAATACAAAGATCGAACACTTAGAAAAAAATCCTTCGAAACGGCCGGATTCGAATCGACGTCTTCTAGCAAATCGTGCCAGACGCGGTGCAATAAATTCCATTAATTGAGAAAGCGAATCCAGTACAACACAAAGGTGGCGACGCCGACGGCAGGCGAGTATAAAAACACAATCGAGCCGATCCTGCCCGAACGAACAAGTTTTGTAATCGTGAAAATAGAGGGGGCAGTAAATTTAAGGAAATCGACGCTACGCCACTGGATAAGACATATATTACTGCTAATTAAAATGTACCAGAGACTTTTCTGTTAAGTGGTTATGTTATTATTAATAAAAACTGAAATTGTTTATTTATGAATCGACTAACTTTTTAGTAAGAACTACTAACCAATTGTTGTCAAAATCGCAATTTGACGCTGACAAGTTTCTTTAAGACCTTGGATTGTAACTGGCATAAGCGTTCTATATTGTTAGTACAGTACAATTATTTTTTTTACAAGGCAATGGTTTAAACCTAACTTATAGTAAGTTAATTTAGCAAATTATAAAAATGAGTAGTATCGGAATCAGATAACAAGCAATTTAATATTTTTTTACTGTTGATTTACAGTACCTATCTAATTTAAGTAAAATTGAGTTTAATCTAATACACTTGCGGCAGGAGGACCTGGTGACTTGTAATATAGGCATTTTTTTTTGCTATCTCAAGCACCAGTCTCTCGCAAATCACTAGTCAGTAAGCATTTATACAATTTACCTTGTATGTTGAGAGAAAATAAATAAATAATTATTATTATTCGTTATCATATATTAATACGACAACAGACACGAAACACGAAATTTATCTTTTTTATCTAATGATCTTTGAAAAGAGAGAAGTATATTAAAGACAAGAGAGAATAGAAGGAGAAAATGACTGGGCATCTGTTACGCAGTGACGAATTTATAAAAGTTGTAATTGAAGGGAAGATAGAAAAAGAAAGAGTGGCGTACAGTGAACAAATAAAGAAGAACGCCAAAGTATTCAGATATAAAGAGGTTAAAGAGGTAGCTCTTAAATAGGGATACAAATAGTTTACTAATCGATGACAAATTTGTATACAAAATTATAGTACAAAAAACTTATCTCTTCAACCAGCAAAGTTCTAATAAATTTAAATTAAAAAGGAACGAAAAAGGGCTTGGTAAACATTTTTAAATGAAACTATTTTTCCGGATTTAAATCGCGTATATTTGTTTCTTCAAACAAACCGACGTTGCGGGCCCTTTACGGTCAACCGTGACCATGGGACCTGTAAAGGGCCCGAAACGTCGGTTTGTTTGAAAAAACAAATTTACATACGCGAGTTAAATCCGGAAAAATAGTTTCATTTCCTATGTGTAACAATCGCGAAAACCTAAGAACTCGATAAACATTTTTAACTTTACAAAGGAATAAAAAAACAAACATAAAATTTAATTAAAAAAACACAAGTAACATTTTATTGTTGAATAGGACTGATGGTGTGCGGTCCATTTATTATTCTTGTGAGTTTGGGCGTAATTTGTGGTTGTATATGTGTGTGTCCATCCATGAGTGTGTGCGTTATTTATTTATTCATAAATGATCTCTTATCTAATAATATACAGGTCTGCTTGCATATCTAAACGATATCTTACCAGTTTTTGATTACCCCCATCGTTGAGTAAAACGATGCATAAATGTACTGAAGTAGTGATTCCGGATGATATGAATATTTTGTATTTACACTCCCAGAAAAGGGACATCGTCGTCTTGGATTCCATAGACCAGTTTTGAGGTCTGCTGTACATATATAAGGAGACGACGGGTCAATGATCTCTCGCGGAACAGGTGTTCGCCATTCGAGAAACATGTGATTGGGGAATGTAACCAATTCGCAGTCAACTCCGAACGATTTTACTATGGCGAAGTAAATTGCGGCTAAGGCAATGGAATGACCACACTTGTTATTTAACACCTGAAATGAATACGACCCAATTATCTTTCTGTGTTTGTTAGTTGATAAATTTATCACAGGAACTTAGATAATAAATGTACACATAATGTACCTGCATGACTGTGACCCGATTTTTCTCTTCTAGGTTTTTCTAAACAACTTTTATCTAAGTTATTGTTTTGACCATAAGCTAGTAAAAAATATACCATCCGTCACACATCCATGACATGTCTGGCTTTTTGACCTTTTGTCCGGATTTTTCGACTTAGATAACAATTTTCAGAATAAAAAGTAAAATATCCACAACATAATTATGAAGTAGTAAAATTCGATTTACGACAAAAATTTTGTTTCAGATCGCTTGTCCATCTCTGCTGCTTTCATGAGAATCGATTTTATTTTGTTACTAAAAACTCCGGACTTGCAAATGTCAAGCCTTTTGTCCGGACTATTCAAATTTCGGAATGGTAACCCTACACACAGTACTTAATCTATATTTTGTACAGTCAAGAGCACGTCAAGCTTGACACTTTGTACTTTGGACCGCTCTTATCGTAAGCGGCACAGAGTTGGATTTACATCTTAAGTGTCAAGTACATGTTTGTAAGTATGTTTTCTCAATATATTAATCATTATTTGTTTATTGAAAATACGGGGTTATTAAAAGTAAAATTGTAAATGTACCAACAGATCAAGATAAAAATTATTATTAGTTTATATGTATTATTCATACAAAGTGAAGAACACATACAGCTTGACACTTAAGACAACTCTATGTCGTTTACTTTACTTATTTCTGGTGGAATTACAGTGCCCCTCAGATCAGAGTGATGGGCGCATTGGCAGTGCCCCTCAGATCTTTGCGATTTAAAGCTTTGAGTGGCACTGCAACTGTTATGGACAGGCGTGTAGCTTACCATTAGGTGCACGACTTGTTCATCCCGTCACTTGAAATTACAAAAAAAAACTATAAGGCACAGAGCCTACGCGTCAAGCTTGATGTGTATTAATTCGCTTGTAAGCAGATGGAAAGTGTGGAACCGCCACCTATAAACATTAGGCATCAGAAAATGGCCTTATCATTGTAAATGCATTTCCAGCAGCGACATAATATCTTTTAAATTCCTGTGTTTGTGATAACATTGACTCTCCCCACAATCCATCTTGTAGACATTCGTGATGCTTTGCGGAAAAATAGAGGTGGTACTTTGATAACCTGTACTTACTTTGACAATATTCAACGTATCTATATTAGCTGAGGTAGCTAAAGTCATTCGCATTTCGCCATACATGATATAAGAGGTAGCTGCAATGACGTTTCTATGAGGAATAAAGCCTTTGTCACACAGTTCTCTTACTGTGTAATGTGTGCCCTGGGGCCCAGGGTAAGCTTCTTGCATTAACTTCTCCACTTTTGTAATAATTGTATTTATCTGATGGACAATAAATAAATTTGTTAGAACAAGTAATGCCGACTAAAAAAGGCGAATGAATTATATAACGAGTAAGGGTCAGCGGAAACCGGCGGACATTTTTATGCTATTGCAATTGAAATGAGGTATAAATTTTAATGCCCCAGGACCGACCTCGAAGAGTCACGAAGACGCATTTCTTTCTGCGGCATTCAAGAGCACGCTAGAGGATATCGCGGCGCTAGGCACACGACGGAGTCCATCGGCATGTGCCGAGATCCACCGGTATGCGCCAAAATCCTCCGGTGTGTACCGAAGTCTAGCTGAATGACGTCGGGGACTTTCCGAGTCCGTAATGGAACGGAATGAAACCGGACCGACCGGTGGCATGTCAGTGGATGACGCGGTATTCCGGCGGACTTTGAGGTGCGCTGGCATAAAAAGTGGTATCGCAAGGGACCAGTGCGGCGTAAATCCACTTCAATGCTCTCCCCTGCCGCCCGCCGGTTTAAGTCGGCCTTAATTGACTCTAAACAGTTCTTCCTTTGAAATGTTAGGGCTTAGGTATTGTGGGTTAGGTGGCTCTGTTTCACCTCATTTCCAATAGTTGTAAAAAATGAATAGTGTAATAGTGCAGGTAGAGCATCAAAGAGCCTTTTTGATTTTAATTAGAGGAAAAACAAGGGAGTTGAAAGTGAACACCGCAAACTGCAAACATAGATTTTACGACTGCGTTAATAAATGAAACGTTATCTTTACCTTCTCTTCCATGATGTCATCAGGGTAGAGGTGATCATTATCAATCCACTGGATGAAGAAATTGAGAACCCTGTGCGGATACTGCTCTTTGTTGATACGCTGACTAGCCCATTTAAGAGAGAGGTAAGTGTGCATCAAGTGCCGCAGTGCAACTCGGCCGTAGTACATTTCTGTTAGCGTGAAAGGCCTGTAATTGAATAGATTTTGTAATATATTTTTGGCAAAAACTACATAGTTTTGGAAGCTACAAAACAAAATGTAGTTAAGCGCACACATATCAGCGTTAAAGCGCACGTGTCAACACGCACTTGTAGTAAAAGTGGTTCCAAATATTACAAGACCAAAATAAGCTCATTATGTTTTGAACTATGGAAAATTGTTTCCATGCATTTTTTACAACAAGCTGATTGCTGGCTGATAAAACAAGAATTTATTTATTGCATATGCACAAATTTTTACACCTACTGGTGCTCATATTGTCCCAGGTCTGTGATCTATATAAGTATATAATACTAAAAAAAAATCACTTGGCACTTACTTGTGACAGGATAAGCTTTGCATGCTTTTCTTGGTTCGTTTCACAAGATCTTGAATTGTATGTACAACGAAATAGAAACTAACATTATGAGAAAGGGCAAGGTCGAATATACTTCGTATGTCCTCTATTTGAATGCAATTGGGGCGACTGAAAAACATATTTTCTAATAGCATCAGAATATACATACATATATTATAGCAATAATACAATATCTATTATATCATGCAATCTTTACCCTATCTTCAAGGTTCTTTGGTTATTATGTACTAAGCACATCCTGGACACTTCATACAATGGTAGAAAGTTATTAACCTACTATTATTACGTACGTACGCAAGGCGCTGTCTCCACACGCGTAAATGTGTGCGTGAAGTGGTAGGTCACCCATCATTTTCTTGTACTAATTTATTATCTGGTTTAACATTCACTGTCTTTTTATGAGCAGACGATTGTATTGTATATATGTAAATAATATCATCAAAAATATAAAAACGAATCTTTTTTATTCTCTGGTACTAACAAATATTTTGTTTTTAATTTATTTATTTAGTTTGTCTTTCATAAATCTATTAAAGTTACAGAAGTTACTATTGCTTAGAAAGTACGCGTATAATTCATGTCAGATATTTGACTTCTCTAAGCGGCGTGGCGTCATGAAGAAAAATAATTTAATATTTTGTCCACAAAACAAATAAATGCAATATTTAGTCTATGAGTTCTTCTATTTTTAATTTTTCCAAAGATTTCTGTATACTCATATCCTCATGACGATATCAAACTACAAACTATTATGTCGCAAAATGTGACCACTAGCTATTATCAGAACGCATCTTCGTAGTAGAAACATTTTTTCGGTGAAGTTACAGACACATGAAACTTGTCAACTTGTCTCAGGGTGACGGGCGCAGTGGCAGTGCCCCTCAGATCTTTGCGATTTAAAGCTCTGAGTGGCACTGCAAGTGGTAGAGACAAGCGTGTAGCTTACCATCAGGCGCACAACTTGTTCAACCCGTCTCAAGAAAAAAAGGGTAAATATTCTTTTTAGAATTTGGAAACCTTATTACAGTCATATTGAGGAGTGACATACTCCATAGTGTGAAGAGTGAGCAGCTGCAACTGTGCAAGTCAACAGAACTGGACGGATAAAGCCGTTAGCTACTGCAGCTAACAGTCGTGTTTCTCAGTAATCGAGAGAATAACAGAAGAAAGAAAAATTTCACTTCATATTTACCTTCAACTTGAACAGCAAACACTTTGACAATGGCTTATTCTTATTCTTATTCTTATTCAATGGCTCATACTTATTTATAAGAGAGTATGCTTACCAGAAAAACTCAGGTGACATGTTGACAATTCGTTCATAAATAAGTTTCTTGATGGTAGTTAATCTCTTAGTCTCAGTGAACCAGTCACCATCGCCATTCTTGATCATTGATTTAAATAAATCAGGTGGGACTCTGTAATTCAAACAACAGTATATAAATATGACTTGACATAAAAGCACGAGACAGTAGTCCTATCAATCAAAATAAAAAAAAGTATAAGATGTGATTGCTACGGCAGAGTTTGTTTCTCATGTGACTCTCATGCAATTTATTTAACTATCACTTATATTATATGTCCAAATTAATCTAATCTACATGTTTACAAAAGTAGTTTAAACAAAATGGAGATGAACTGGGCATCTGCCAAAAATAAATAAATATTAGGCAACATCACATAGATTGCTCTGATCCCAATGTAAGTAATTAAAGCATTTTTGTAATGAAAATTGTAAACAATGAGTTACCACAACCACCCAGACCTGAGACAGCATGTGTAGAAAATTTGTTTACCCGACTGGGGATCAAACCTGGGACCTCCGAGACTGCAACACCTTGAAAACCGGTGTGCAAGCCACTTGATCATTCAGGTTGTCATACTTTGCAACAAATTGGCACCCACGTGATGGGAAATGCAATAGGGGGCAGGAAGCATCAAAAATGGGAAGACGAGCTGATGCTGACTACAGATTCCTACTGGAGAAGAGTTCCTGATAGAGGTCACTGAAAGTTCTGGAGGAGGCATACGCCAAAAGATCTGCAGCGTTAAAAGATATATTATAGACTATAGATAGGGAAGTAAAATTGTCACTCAGCTAAATAGGATTGACTGGTAAGTAAAAATAATGTTGAGAGAAAACATTGCCTCGGTGGCCGAACGGGTACCATGTTGGTCTGCCACACAGAGGTCCCAGGATCAATTCTTGGGCCAGGAAAAATATTTGTGTGGCCTATATTTATTTTTGTTATGAGTTTGGGTGTAATTTGCGGTTGTCAGAATTCGCTAATGCGGGGCTATGAGTGTGTACGTTTAAAAAAATGCCATATTATGCACATCAGAGAAGGTTTATCAGCTCTATTATAGGTCAATGTTTCTGACTATTACTTAATCTATAAATTAATAATAACTAATGAAGGCTATTTCAGTGCTAAGCGGAAATCGATAGAGAGTTTCACTAGTTGGCCTAAAGAGGCCAATAATTTTTTTAAGTGCCAAAAGGATGTTGAAAATTAAATATTTACAAATTTCAACTTACATTTCTTTGAAGCGTTCCTTCCAAAGGCATTGATCACTTTGCACCATCTCATAGAAATATTTACAAGTAGCGCTGAAATTCACTGAATCGCGGCAATCATTGTGTTTTAGTATTATAGATATAATTTCACTCGGCAAACAATCAATTGATGCGTTTTTTTCCGTAACGTTACATTCGTCTTCACTCATATTCGCTGCTGTAGCCAAAGCAGCACAATTTACATTAGGAAACACAAATTTTACCAAATGACTAAATCAGAATTTTCTATCACTATGAAACTCTAGATTTGCACACAAATTAGAAAGATAGATTTAGAAACAACAAACAAGAACAAAACATCAATGTCAAACGTCAAACTTGATTTTTTTATTAATAATTTTGGCTTGGATACAAGTCCTTTGAGGCATGTCTTCGTTTATGTTTCTGTAAATATAGGCGCCACGAAGAGGCGTGCTTGGATTGACTCGGGATACCTTAGAACGGGCCGATACGGGTATTTTAGTTCGAGATTCGTATAATTTCGCGTTTTAATCTTCGATTAAAGCACAATGATGATAGCAGCGCCACCAGTGACTCGATTCGAATCCTGCCGTTGTTCAATATCAAAAATTATAGAGCCGAATATTGTCAACGTCTGCGAATACGAGGGTCATGGCAAAATTAGATTTTCAAAAATTAAAAAATTATTCTTTATTACAGGTACCGATTTTTTCAAAGTATTCACTGTGAACACGTACATACTTTTCTATTCGTCTAAACTAAGAAAAATATCTATGACCACCATCTCCAAGTTATATGCAGCTAAGGCATCTTTGCTTTAGAACCGATTGCCTTTTAATTTTGCTTTAATTTTTGGAAAGAGGTAAAAATCACAAGGTTCTAGGTCAGGGGAATATGACGGGTGAGGCAGGATAGATACATTTTTTTAATGAAACACATGAAAAGTTCATTAGTGCAAAGTACTTCAATATTCGAAATTTCACTAGTATGAAATAAAAGTGATCAAAGTGTGCAACCCCTTAACATTATCCAATCGTCTTGAATTTCTGCATATATATTTTATACAACACTGAGACTCGGGGCGTAAGCAAAGTCATATGAAAATCACATATCTTTGGAAAAATGAAACACCTACAGAACGTAGTTCTATTTGATATTTAAGACCACTTCGACATTCATTTGTCATACGTAAGTTGAAGTAAGAGTATTTAGTTACTCCTGACGTTTCATTAACGGTAGGTTGAGAATTAGTAAAAAATAATGTACCTATACAAGTATTGTAAAAATGTAAAGGCAATGTAAATTGAGCGTAAAAGGTCTCATTCGTTGGCGACAAAGAGTTCATTATACACAACTTGTTGCCAGACAACCACATCAATTCCCTGGTCTCAAACCAGAGAATTCCCTGTAATACGAGTACCAAAGCAACGGAATTCACTGCGGGGCACTACCTAGAACACCCAGACCAGCGTCAATTTAAAGAAGTTCATTTTCGTAATTGGTCTTACCGGAAAACGAAACCGGAACCTGCGCATCCAACGCCCATAGTGTAAACAGTTAGGCCATAAAATGTAGGTAAATAAAGAATTTTGACACATAACCCCACCTTTACACAATTTATTCCGATGAATAATTAGTCATTACAATAAACGGATAAGTAGATAAAATATTTATTCACCACCATGATAAATACATTTTTAGGACCCAACAGGACAGAGACGCCACTCGTAAAACCCAAAACAAAATCAATTTAATTCAATTCAATTTAATTTCATCCAATTTAATTTATTTTTTTCAAAATACCTAGGCACTCATATTTTCAATTTTTGCAAGATAATTTAAAAGATACTCCTGCAGCTTCTGCTTGAACGCTCTTTTTGTGACGCTGTTACGGATAGGAGGAAGAATATTGTTCCAACAACTAGTGGCTAAGTATCGGAAACTCCCTCTAAATGCAGCGGTATTATGCCGGGGGGTTACAAGCAGAAACATTCTTGTCGACCTTGCTCCAAAGCAAGAGTTTACCGTGGTTGACCAAGTGAGTTTCTCATACAAATAATACGGTATGTGAGACTGAACAACATCAAACAACAACCCAGGCAGATGCAATTTAAGGCGCCTACCCATCGCAAGCACACCAGACTTATTCAGAAAGTATTTGTTATAATTGCAAATTGTCTATGATAAATGCAAGTTGGAAAGTTCTACCTACACGATTATTCACTGAAATATGATATTATAGAACATTGACTTTGTTATAGAATCTAGTATTCAGGACGGTGTTGTGGTCATTTCTGGTCTAATTCCCTGATGTTCGTATCCCATCCAGCTAGATTCCCTAGGTGACCTGTATCGTAAAATTGCTTGTAAAATTATAATGAAAAACGGCAACCGGGAATGCGCTGCGCCGGTAATGGTTTATTGATCGAAAGCTTTCGACCCGCTCCCCACCGCCGTCGCTTATGTTTGTTTTATTTTTATTGTGTTATGTATGTTGCACTGTATAATATGCCTATGACACGAATACAGCTTTAGCGTAATTGATCACGAATAATTGTCCACATAATTTATCAAAAACTTTATGAGGGTTCTGTGCTATTTAACTCTATGAGTACAAGGGATTTTTGATGACTTGTTTGCATAGTAGTTCTATAGTAGAGTAGAGTAGGTAAATATGTTCATTAATATGTTCACAAATTATTATTATCGTCAATGAGCGGTTGACGGTACCTACACTTTTGGGCAAAAGTTAAACCACTGCATTTATATGCTATGCTGGACTTATAGGAATAATACAATTACTACCTACTGGGAGATTGAGCATATAAATACACCATGGACCAATAACTCAAGAGGAATGCTAAAATCATGATACAAGACAGGGCGTAGTCGGGTGTTTAGTACCTATTGTATATATTGTACCTTGTGTATATATTGGTACACAAGATGCCAAATAGCTATTTTTGTAACTAATTTGTTTTACATTCACGAGCTGCAAAATCAAAGCTACTCTTAGACCACCATTTGTTGGTAGGTCAATGAAGGTACACTAATTTATAGTGGCAAGAAACAAATGAACTAGATAGCGCTTATTTCACTATATTTATTAAAATTTTGTTTATGATTAGCGCCATCGACCCTTGTTAGCAAAGGTAATTTACAATCTAGTTTGTACCATACAATGTCATCTATTGGTAAGTACGCGTACGGTATATTTGTGAAAGTTCAGAAAATAATTTTAAGATCATGGTCAATATTTGAATAATATTACAAGGAAAAAAATCGGACTACTTGAATTTCTTATTACAGAGGACTTAATTGATATCCACGGTCATTTACATAATATGACCTGCTTCCAGGCTACCGATTAGCGCCATCTAAATATAAGACGAGATTTTAACCACTTTCAAAGTTACTATCTGTGAGTATGTGGTAATAAATACTTTTGGTTTTATATATAACACTTTTGCTTGGAGCAAGCGATAACCAACTTATAACGACTTCAAAAAAGAAGTCAAAGTCAAATAATCTTTATTTCATAGGTAATCAAATTACACTTGAAATCGTCATACTGATTAAACTCTACTGCTCACTCGTAAGGCAGATTCCCCTGAGAGGGTTTGAAAGAGGGTTTCTTTCTAACTAACTTTAAAGATGTAATTATTAATACAAAGATCGAACACTCAGTACAAATTCCTTCGATCCGGCCGGATTCGAACCGACCACGTCTTCTAGCTTACCGTGCCAGACGCTATACCAACTAAGCCACGGAACGAACCAGTGGACCTCACGAATTTTTCTGTGTGCTTGCGTTGTCTTCTCTTTGATCTTTGTATTTGGTTTTTTCAACGACTTTTTAATCGTAGCGCCATCTATGAGAAATGTATGAAGGTTTTATCACCCAGTTAGATCTTTGTATTAACAATTATAACAAACTAGTGGACTAATTTCACAAAAAATAATTGAATATCAATTCAAGAAAAATATAAAATTTAATGATGTATTTAAGTAGGTGCCTAAGTACGTATATATGTATATAACTGTTTGTATCTTATAATATTAAGAATTATTGTTAATGTCGATGTTGATTATTAAAATACGTATGTATTCTGATTGTCGAATGTTCTTCTAACTTTCTAAATGTAGTAGAATTTGGCATTCGTGATTTTTGTGGTCGTACTACGTAGGTAATATGATCCACTATCTGTTGCCTAAGTTTCAGCATACGTAAAAAATATATGTTTATTACATTTAGATATAACTTCCCCAATTCAGTAGCTCCTTTTCCTATAAAAGAGAAAACTATTTGGCTCCAGTAGGTCTAAGCGCGTAGTTTTAGAAGGCTTTATAAAATATAATTTCAACTAAAAATGTTGAGAGTTGATTATACAGCTGTGTGGAATACCGTATCACACGGCGTGAATGACTGATTTTACGTAACTATTTTTAGGGTTTTGTGGTTCCAGTGAAACCCTAAATCTGAATAAAAATGAATGTTTCAGATTACTGATATTGGTAATTATCAAAATTGTTTCGTATTGTTCAATACACGCGATCTGAAACTATTGCCTGTATAATATAGATGAACAGTTTTTTAGCTAACCAAGCGGACTTATGTCCGTAATACAATTTTATTTTGAAATATTATTCACGTATTAGTACCTACTTAAGTGGCTTAAAACTTAAATATTAAAGTTTTAATTATATTTCTTAAAACAGACACTAAAAAGTGTGATCGTAATGGCTTTCGTTTACAGCTTTTGCTTTTGGTTCTCGTTACGTTTAGGCGGTATGATTATTGGTGTATTCTCACTGGTAGGTATAGTAGTTCTTATTCGAGTTAACTACGTTCTCCATTTACATCGGGTGGCGTATATTGACTTGGCATAGTCTTAACACTTATTAGTATTAATACCTCAGCCTTCCCTGATATTTACAACATTGTACTCTATTTTGAATTTAAATGTCATGCTTTTCTAATTTAAAATAAATATCGAGAAGAATTCCGAATCAGTACTTACACAGTTATTTTATTTTGCAGTTTCAAGGCGTGTTGATGCTGGCCTTGTTCTGTTACGCACACAATAAGATCTCGGACGTGCAAATTGAGATAGAAAATTGGCTTACTCACTTGCATCTTCTGTATACTAGAGATTACTTAGAAAATGTAAAATCAGGTACGTATTTTTGATATGGACATATTGTGTATAAACTCTTGTTTGTTCTGATGAAGCGCTCGAGAGAACAAACTAGAGAATATCTTTAGGCCCAGAGCAAGCCGGTGGACGGGAAGGCAGAGGATATTAAAATCAATGTGCAGTCAACTTATAATACTACTACAGTTCGCGAGGTCTAAGCTGAGCTTTGCATTTGTGTGAGTAATCACCAAAAGTAGAGTCAGACAAAAAACTTTTAAAAATAAATTTTAGTATTAGGTAGGTTTTTAACATAAGTGGGAGAGATATTCTAGTTTAAAAATAAATTAAAACTAAATAGCATAAATTGTTAAAATAAAGGCCAGCTATGATATGTATGACCGATGACCATGTGTACATATGTAAGTGTGACCGAGAAGTCAGAGATCAATAAATAAAATTCAAATAATATAAAAAAATTATAACAATTCTTCTGCACCGGACATTGCATTTTCATCATTTTCTTTATCACTCTCGTCTTCATTTTCACTCTCCTCTGATGTATCGTTTGTGTTATTAATGAATCGTTCCGTTATATCGTCAAGAATGACATCGTGACCATGAAACTTTTTTTCTTCTTTTATTGCGTGGTCACATACATTTTTCCATTCTTGTACAGTGATAGTGTCAACTTTTTCTTTCGCTAACCTCATAATTGTATCCATATTCATTGACACGTTTTTTTTAGCCACGTACCCTTTTATCATTGCCCATATATTTTCAATTGGGTTGAAATCCGGGTGGTAGGGTGGTAGACGAATGACGCTGTGACCATGTTCTCTAAGTAAAGTGTCAATTTTATATTCAATAAATCTTTGTTTGTTTTGCAGTATCAATTGATAGAGTTGTGGTTTAAGCATCGATGTAGAGTGATCGATATTGCGATACTTAAGCCAGTCAATCATATCTTGTTTACGACTATTTGAGTTGGGAGCGGGATTTTCTAACGAATTGTGGTAAGATGCATTGTCTACCACCACAACGCTATTGGGCTTTAAATTTGGAATTAATTGCGTTTGTAACCATTTCGTGTAGTTTGCTGCATTCATATTATTATGGTAATCACCACTTTTTTATTTGCTTTGAACATCTGCAGTGCATTTGGTATGAAACCGTCCTCTCCGCCGGCATGAACTATTATTAAACGATTTCCTTTAGAAATTGGTTTCTTCAAACCAGAAGTGCTGCCATCTGAATAAGATTTTGAAGAAGTGTGAGTCGTGTCTATGTATGTTTCGTCGGTATAAACGACTGGCCGGCCCTGAATGCAATATTCGGAAATTTTAATCAAAAAATGTATACGTAGATAACGTATCTTCTGTTCCTTTCCATTTAAATCCTAAAAGAGACACTTCTTTACGCAATGACCAAATTGAACCTGGATAGTTTATTTCTCTCTTCAACTTTTCATATATTCGTTTCATAGTTGGCACCTCTTTATCAGTAATGTGAAAGTTGTGAATAGTTCTTCGGATTATCGCTTTATCAAAATCGTCAATGATAATGATATTTTTCCTGCATCTGGTCTTTTTCGGAGATTTAAATTTGGTTCCGTCTTCCGAAAGACGTTTACCTTCCAATAAAACTCTTTTGACAGTGGACAGCGGAATTCCCGTCGATGTCGCTACCAATTGGGCTGATGTAGTGACATTTGACATGTCTTTGTCGTTCATGTCTTTAAAATAACTATTTAAATTACACAAAATTTCCTTTACTTGGCTATTTAAAGGTTTTCGTATAATTCGTTTATTTGTGTTGGCAGCTATTTCACTAATAAATCTAACACAAAAACAAAATATTAAGAATTAAACACGTCACGCTGCTACCAGTACAAGAGGTGAAGTGTGAAAGGTGCGCGGCGGAGTTGCGTCGCGCGAGGGATGCACCGCGCCTCAGGCCAGTTGACAAAAAGCAGTTTAAACCGATTTAAACCTAGCAAAGGACGCGTCGCCCTCTAGGCCGACGTTACACCTACACTATCTATGTGCACTCACACAAATGCAAAGCTCAGCTTAGGCCTCGCGGACTGTACTAAACTTATAATAATACTTAAATAATAAAAATTACCATCGAAATTAGGTAGCGAGGACTAACCTGAAAATTACCCATTCCTCATCAGTCTGCATTGACCGGCATAAAATCCTTTTAGACGCTCTCGCCAGACGTCCGCGCGTTTTGAGCTGGTGCTTACGACTTCTCCTTTCTCTTTGCCGACTTCTTTTGAAGTAAAGTTCGGAGAAAAAATTATATAAGGGAAGACACTTTAATACAAATATAAATTCAATATATTATCTGTATACTTTATTATGTGGCTCACTGTATTTATATTTATTTTTCCAGACCCCGAGAAATACATAACGCTTGGAATATCACTCACAATAATTTACTCAATTTTATGCGTCCTTTATATCTACGGAGCGTATACGGTAATTTCAGTCCGTTTCTATTTCTTCTAGGAATACTTACGCAGTTATGGTCAAGCAGAGTTGCTGGTCGGTAGTAGACGTAGGTAACATGTCATAATTTACCTACTTTTTGAAGTAATTTTACCAGCGTGTATGTGGCTCACAAAAAAGAATTTGATGGTTCTACAAAACCAAGCAACAGCATAACTATACACAATACATGTATGTCATCGATCCATCTACCGAAAAGAGCCGTGTCGGTGTCGAAACCTATAACTTGAAAAGCAGAGACGAGAATAAGTCCAGAAAATGTATAATTTGAGATTTTACTTTAAATCAACGTTTAGGGTTCTTTACGGTACCCCGTGGAGCCTAAACGTCGCGTCGGTTTGTTTGAAAAAACAAATGCATGCGATTTAGATTTAAAAAAAGAATCCAATTTGTAGATAACATTCATTGAGAACATCTGCAAAAGTTTACTAGGTGCGACAAAATCTGAGTCACCTGCGCGTCGTGCCCGTGTAAAAAGTAGGCCGTGTGCAAACAGGTTCTTACTCTGAATTTCACACGGGCTTTTAATTTACATGGTTAGGCCTGTTTAGGAAATATTTAATAATGTAATTAATGTTCATTGGCAGTGCAAAAACTACTTAATGATTGGGTTCATACTGGCGGAGCTAATGCGGCTGCTAGTAGTAACGATGGCTGTAGCAACATGGCTGTTAGTACTCAAGCAGAACACAATGGACATAGGGCTACTAATCGGAGCTAGTGTGGCCGGGGGGTTCTTTTTATGCAAGTAACCTTATATATCAACCACCCTTTTCTTCTTCAGCTTACAACTAAGGCTCAATTCATTCGTGTAATGTATAAACTATATACGAGCCAAAAATAGGTCACGCGTCTTACGAAGAATTCCCGCGCAGTCTCGGGAATTCCCGCAGCTACCATCTCTAGTTAGTGTGTTACACAATTGACAAAGTTTATTATGCTATGTACAAACAATTTCGTTCGTACCAAAATTAAATTTAAAAAGGCAATGTTTGACGTTGGAAAGGTAAATAACTAGAAAGTTTCAGGTTTTCCGTAATATAAACAAATAAGAGTTAGGATTTTTTTCTTAAAAATTTACTTTAAATCGCTGTCCTGTAACATTCTCTAAGTAAACGTTAGACGTATTACGTTTTACCTTTCCAGTGTCGATTAATTAACCCTAAAGGGAAAACGAATGAGACTTCCTTGGCAATCTTTTTTTATGCGCCAGACAACCACACCTAATTGGTCTCAATATTTATTTTATGAGACCAAGTGACGGTATGAGCAAATCACTCACCTAGTAGTAAGTGGCACGCCTGTCCATAACAGTTGCAGTGCCACTCAGTGCTTCACAAAGTTCGGAGGATCACTGCCACTGCACCCGTCACCCTGAGACAATTTGACAAGTCTCATGTGCCTATAATTTCAACTTGTAATAATTTTGAATAATTTTTTTGTTATTTTATTATAATAATAATAATAATAATGCACACACTCAACATAGCCCCGCACTAGGGAAAACCCTGTGTCGCGGGTGCCATGGACACACACATAGACAACCACAAATTACACCCAAACTCACGAGAGAAATAAATGGACGCCATACAAATATTTCTCCCGGCCCGGGAATCGAACCTGGGGCCTCTGCGTGGCAGTCCGGCATGGTAACCGTTCGGTCACCGAGGCAGTTATATATATATTATAGGTATGGCCCTCATGCTAAGCTTGCTGGCATTTCTTTTTACCTATTTTGTTTTTTTTTAATGTTAATATTAGACTTACCAGTAGTGGTCGATTATTCGGATGCTTTTATGCCTGAAATTCACTTTTCCCGCGAATTGTGGAAACGGCTTCTTAAAATATATTTTTATGTTTTAAATATATAATAAGTTTTTGAATCACTATAAATCTTAAAAGTTTGATGATGACCAGGAACATGACAACTGGGTTTCAATATTGTAAAAAGTTGGAAAAACTATTAAAAGGACAATTTTTTTTGTGGACTTTACTGCTTCCTTGTCATCCTCCTAACGCATTTGCATTTTGGAAACTGTCGAGTTATTGGCACCCAAAGTTTTTTCTTTGCTTAATAATAAAACTGAAACTAAATAATATAAAAAACCGCTTACAGAGGGTTGTATGTCTCGTTTCGTCTATTCGAGATAATGTTCATAACTTAATTTCGCTAAAAATCGACGAGGTACGTTAGTTATGATAAAGAGGGCAGCGTTGGTTTTTACATTTTTTATTTTCTGTATGTGTTAAAAGTTAAATTAATTGTAACAAACATTACAAATAACGTTTACGTTTAAATTACTTCAGTTTTATGCTTAATAATTTCGTCAATTCCGGAGTCGCGGGATTTTTTCGATACAAAAGCGCATCCCATATTAGCGAGTGACCGAATTGTAGGTAATATGGCATCCGATTATCCGATCACTATTTGTTACTTATGCATGTAGTGTAACTTCAACAATTTTGTTAATAATAACACAAAATGTGTTACAGTGGGCATGTTCTACCTCTGGGTGTGTGCCGCCAACTTGCCAGTGCTGATAAACGAGATGGAGCAAGACGAAAAAATTGCTACTATTGAAAAACTTCAGCAAATGTTAGAGAGCAAACAGCGACCGTACAATAGAGCTCCTAACCAAATCCGGTACATGGACAACGCTGATACGGCAATATTTACACTACCTAGAAACAAAAAGCATGTAGTAGAACAACCTTTTGTAACAGGATCGAGAATACCAGTGTCATTTAATCGTTAGTGTGCTAACTTATTATAGTTTTTTTTATTATTATATTATGCCGGATTTACATTTGTCTGACGTGTCGTGTCGTGACGCGTCAGAATGGAAACGGTTTCATAAACACAGTACAAGCCGTCACGTTAGATTGCGGCACACTAATATAAATCTAACCATATTAAATGTATGAAACCGGTACCGTTCTGATGCGTCACGACACGACATCTCAGATAAATGTAAATCCGGCTTAATTATACGACGTAGTCCTTGTTTCAAAACATTTTTTGGGAGTAAATTTGACAGATTGGAGAAGACAGATACTTCTAATAATACTTCATATACAGATAGGTACCTCCTAGACTTGTTTCTGAAATATCGAAAAACCTGTAAATTCTGACAGTAATTTGGAGAAGATAACTACTCTGACAACTTTTGTTTAATTACTTTAATGAATGAAATGAATTACTTCCTGAGTCTGAGCCCTTCAAAGGCTCACTACCCAAAAGAGACACAATTTAATCCTTAAGTCCTCGATTGACAAGAACAAGCTAGCTGCTTGGGTGGTCGTTACTGACTACCTTCCGTTGCCTGCGCGGAAAAAGAACCCTTAAGGTAAGACTGCGTCGTGTTTGCTGATAGTACATTAAAGGTAATAAACCGGAGATCAGAATGAGTAGTTTTTTTCTTGACTTTTCGCGCTTAGCGTGTCAGCCACTTACAAGGTCATTGATTTTTGTTATTAAAAAGGGAGGAAACGAAAGGTTTAGGAAGAGAAAGACAGATGAAAAAAACGTATCAGGTGAGGAAATATGAGATGCAAATAAACAATTAGTATTACGGAGGAGAAATATATTTACTCAAACCTCTTTTGAAAAGGAATTTTAAGTAAATATAATAACTTTTACGTCTTTAAGAGGTCGATAATACCTCACTCTGAAATCCAGGAATTAATGTATTGTGTTTCGTTTTGTTTGTACGTTTCTGATGTGTAACTTTCATTTGTTTTGCTAAGTAATGTCTTTAGAAGAAAAATATTATAATTGTAGTTAGTATATTGTAATTTTAGTAGCAATAGAGGTCTTTGTGAAAGAGTTCGTCCAGGGTAGTACTGCCACCATATCTATTTCTGCCGCCTAGCATTAATGTTAGCATTACTACGTTTCGGTTCTTGAAGGGTAAGGGTGCTGGTGAAATTACAGGCACATGGGACTTGTCAAGTTATGACTCAGGGTGACGGGTGCGGTGGAAATGCCCCTCAGATCTTTGCGGTTTAAAGCTGTGAGTGGCTCTGCAACTGTTACGGAGAGGCTTGCTTGCCACCAGGCGCACGATCTTGTTTGACCCGTCACTTGATATTAAAAAAAAAGTTAAAATATTACTATTTCTGAGGGAGGTTTTAAACACGAAATTTAGGTAAATATATTAGAGTATATATATATAATTAATAATAATAAAATTCTAGTAGAACAGCTCAAGAATTGTTTTAATTAAATTAAATTTCGAAACTAAATATAAACAACAATCTCGTATTCCATATTATTAAGTAACATTATATCCATAAATATTATAAACGTAATTAGTAAACATTAAAATAATGGGTTCGCATCCAGGTTTCATTCAAATGCAACAACTGGTTGTGAATCGGAATAAACACTATTATTATCCATTCGTCAAGGGATAATGGATAACACCTTACCGGAACGTACCCATCTATAACACTAATTAGAAAGATCACTACTAGGGATGCGCATTACGATTTCATTTTTATGAAGATCGATTTAATTGAATACCATCTAGCGATTATTTGAATCGATTAATTTCTATGCGATTTTTAAGTGAATCGATTCAATATTAAGGCGAATTGAATCGTCTAGGTCGTATTCATAATTTAAACAAAAGTCTCATAAAGATGAGGACAATGCTTTGGGCATTAAGTTATATGACATCATTATTGAAAGTTTAGTTAATGTAAACGATTGGCAATTAAATCATGTAATAATTATTACAAATTTTGAAACGATTTTTATGAGATCCATTTAAGAGGCATAAATGATCCATTACGATACAAAAAATCGTTTCAAAGCAAAAACTCGTGCATCCCTAATCACTACCACCTTTCATATATCTACATCATTCTTAACCTACATAGTAACATTCACCACAATGGAAATAACAACGAGAAACTGGAAGCAATGGAAATAAGTTTTATACGGAACTAACTTGCATGGCGGCGAAACGAGGAGTCGTCTCCATATCCAACGAGTCGGTAGTCACCTGGGAGCGACTGTCGGAGTTTTCCGTACTGTTCAGCACAGAGGACATCGATATCTTATCGTCTTTAACACTACCGTTCGCGTCTACCTCGATGCTGCTAGATTTCTGTGAGTCGACCATGTCGCCTCCACCGCCACTGAGCGAATTCCATATCCCTTTTGAAGATTCCTTAAGTGTGACCTTTTTCTCATTGGCCGCAGCTTTGTCTTTGCCGTCTTTAGTCTTCTTGCCGAGGACGGGAAACGCACTGAGTTTCGGCTTGGAGTTGCGGACCACCCCGCCACGTTGTATAGGTTGGGCTGCAGGGTCAGATTCTCCTTCCTCCGTGATTGATGTGAGTCCGTCCGGTGGGTCGGTGGGAACTGCCTGTCCAGCTTGTATCGGTATGTCATCTGGAAACAAACAAAATAATATCATTATTCATCATCATTATCATGATTTCAGCCAAAAGACGTCCACTGCTTAATCATAACGCACACACTCACTGCTGAACATAGGCATCCCCCAAAGAATGCCACGACTTGTCCTGCACCCAGCTTGCATCCAGCGGATTCCCGCAGCATTCACCAGATCGTCAGTCCACCTTGTGGGTGGTCTGCAATTGGCTTTGGTAGCCTAGCTAGCTTAGGGGACTAGGAGGTCTTGATTTTATTTTGCCCATGATTTGGGGGGATTTCGCCATAATCGCCACCCTTGGCAGGCGGGTTGGCGGTCGCAGTTTGAATGCAGGTGTACTCGAGGATGCTGCTGCCCATCCTCATTGCTTGTTCTTGATCCCTTTGTCGCCTTGTACGACACCCACAAGAAGAGAAGGTAATGGGGGGAGTTGTCGGAGTTCTATTCTAAGCAGGACACCACACGGCATATTATTATTAAAAACATCTTTTATTTAGATATTTTAATATTATTTGGGTCATAGAGCTTGAAAACTAAATAATAGAATAATAAGTATAATAAGACAAGTATGATAACTTCATATAAATGTAGCAGCGCGACGAAGAAAAGCGTTTGTGGTTTTGTAACTGCAATTCCTCAAGCACGGATACGTTCGTACGATGCAACTCCAACACCACATCTCAAAAGCGTCAATTCTTTGCCTGTCAGCGGTTTTAACCGTCCAGCCTTCTGCGCCGTACAAAAATATGGAGAAGACTAGAGTGCAAACTATGTGTATCTTTGTTCTATTGCGAATGTATCTGTCGTTCCATATCTTTGCAAGTTGTGCATGACAGTTTTTGCCATACCGACGCGTCGTCGTATGACTGACCCAAGGTACAAGAACTCTTCTGACAGACAACTAAGTTTTGATTATACAAGTATTCGACTTTTTATCGTGCATTATTATTTAATATTCGAGTATTGTATTGTGAAATATTACTTAATAATTACACTATAGTATAAATAATAGATAAATACTTGAATATTTAAATAATAAAAATTGCCACGGAAATTAGGTAGTGAACACTAATCCGAATGTAAAAGAAAGTAATTTCTATACTTGTCTTATTATACAGAATTGACTCGAGTCGACACCGTGCAAGAGCGAAAAACACGTTGCGCGTTTCATTTCTATTCGAACCGACGTGAACGTACAACATCTTTTTCGTTTGAATTACTGAAGGACAGAAAGTTCTTTCTGATTGGCTTATTGCGATTCAGTTTCTAGAATCAATTTTGCTGTTTTGCAAATGTATGAAACGAAACCTCCATGACAACGGTTTATTTTATAACTGACTTCGAAAAAAGTGGAGGTTATCAGTTCGACAGTATTCTTTTGTATGCATGTTACGCAATAATTTTTGTGAACCGATCTCAATGACCTCAGTATACCTCAGTATTGGTCCCATTTAAATTTGAAGAAAATATTCCATCTCTAAGGGTGGCAACCTAAGAGATGAATCCGGTTTCGCGCACTTTCCAGCGCTGAGGACGGTTTTTTATTAATTATATTTTTTAAAGTAAATGAAGAAAGCCGTTCGGTGAATTCCTCTGAAACTTCTGGTAACTAGTCGTTGATCGATTCGAGTCTATGTATATATCTATACATATAGGTACAAAGGTTATGGCCAAAAAAATTGTTAATGTACAGCTAGAAGAGACTTACTTTTTTTTTCATTTATAATATCAAGTGACGGGACGAACAAGTCGTGTGCCGATGATAAGCTACACGCTTGTCCATAACCGTTGCAGTGCCATTCAAAGCTTTTAATTGCAAAGATCTAAGGGGCACTGCCACTGCGCCCGTCACCATGAGACCGTTGATAAGTCCCATGTGACTGTAATTTCGCCAGCCTTCATAACGGAAACTCACATTAGTGTTTGGCGGCAGAAATAGGTAAGGTGGTACTTCCCTGGTCAAAGAGCTCTACTACTAGTAAAATAAAAATATCTCATTCTCTTGTAACGATAGAGTCACAGATTTTTATAATAACAACCCGTGTTTAGCACGTGTGACGTATAAAGCTTGCTTGTGCCCCAAGGCAAAATGTTTTACGATCTATAATGTAATATGGATTCTACAATCATTAGTAAAATACCACACATAATAAAAACCACACAGGACTATATTACTAACATCATAAGCAATAACTTTGTTCCATGATTTTTCACATAATAAATTTACCAATAGTTAATTTAATAAGTTTTTGTATTGTTTGACAATTTTTATATCTACATTTGGTAGTAAGGTAGTAAAGTTCAACCATAAGCGTTCTCCCTAACGACGACGGGTTAGTAAACACCAGTCCGGTGAAAGAAAGAAAATGGAAGCGTAAATATACTGCCGCTTTCTTTTGTAACCGCACAGAGTTACCACCGTTTAGAGCGACCTATTTAAATATTATTTGTACGAACGTAAAACTGATGAATTATTAAAAGTCATAGCACAAAAGTTACAGTTTTTGATGTTAGTATTTCACAAATAACCCTGTAAAATATTAACAACCTGAAATAGGTCGAAGAGAGACGTGGTATGACGATGTGTTATAGAGGTGGTGAATATTACACCTGCTATAGTGTAAATATTTATACTATGACTACAGTATTGGCAGGTCGATATCTATAAAAGTAACCCTGATTTATTATTACTGATTTTTTTTCTCATTCACATTGCGCGAGGTTCTTTAAACTGAAAGAAAATTCACAACGTTATATTTTTTGATAAACTTGAAAATGTTTAGTCTAACAACAATGTTAGGCGCACGACTGTTTCGTCCCATCACTGGGTATCATAAAAAAAGACATATTTAAAGCAAAAATACGTCTATAATATAGGTATAAAATAAACGATAGTGCTGCATTGCCGTACTGTTTATTGATTGCTTGTGCTCCAAAGCTAAACGTTTTACGAACTATAATGTAATATCGATCAAATTACATTAACTATGGAGTTTATGTGCGTATTTCTAAACCTAAAATCTTTGATGTCCTTAAATGAAAGACAGGCAAGGTAATTTAGACCTTAAAATTGTGCTGCTAATATTGAGTTTGTGAGTTAAACGTTCGTGTGACTTCCGCAGTATGGCATTAAAATCAAACTCGTAATCTTTTACATTGCCATCACCCGTTGAGAAGTAATATTCAGACGTAGGTTCTATGTAGACATGTGAGCAACGTGTAAGGTTTAGAAATGTGCACAACAGCCGTCTAAATGTGCAAGTTGAATGGCTGGCATTGCTATTCTGTCGTTCCGGCTCGTGTCGTTCATTACTTAGTAAGTTAGTGATGCAAACTTTGAAAAGCTTGATGGCTTAAACGGCAACACTGTCAAGTTTGGAAGACATTTAGTAAAAACTGTAGTTTAAGCGGCAATACTGTCATAAATTTGCCAGATAATAAAAACTAGTTAAAAAAACCGGCAACACTTGCAAAAGTACGCCAGATAATGAGTGAAAAACTGTAGTTTAAATAGCACCACAGTCGAAAGTGTGCCAGATAATTAGTAAAAAAAAAACAAGAGGCAATATTGTCAAAAGTTTATCAGATGAATCCAGTTTAAATCGCAACACTGCCAAAACTTTGCCAGACAATGAAAAACTTTAGCTAAAATGGCAATACTGTCAAAAATTTGCCAGACAGTAAAAAACAATAATAGGCAACATGGAGCAGGAAAGACCAAAATTCATTGCCACAAGACTGGCTTGCGCCTTAAGTGGTTAGCCTATTGTACTTAAATGAAACCACGAGACTTTTTGTATGTACGAGTAGTGTACTTGCTATGTATGTATAGACGGGATCTATGAACTCTAGAGGGCATACCTGGCATCAAAAATTTAAATAAATTATTGCAATTCATTAGTGCATAGCATTAACTGATTTTTCTTTTGTCATCTTATAAACAATTTATTTCGATCTGCAAATGAAATAGAGAAGTATGACATTCTTTCTCACTTTTGAATACCTACTATTTATTGTTTGCCGAATTACTGAGCAATGTTACGTGACGCTAAATATATCTAATTAAATGTGATTTACTATTCCACGACTGCTCTATTATGATCGTGAAAATCAAAACCTCGGACGAAATAATAAGGATTTTGGCGTCGTGTTCTGTCTGCGAGTACGTATATTTGTCTGTGGCATCATGGTTCCCGAATGGATCTACCGATTGGACTGACTTTTTTGTTTGTAATGTTATATAACTTTTTATTTGTTTGTAATAAATAACGCTATTAGAGGTGGATTTGTACGGTGAAAGCAGTTTAGGGTCTTCGGCTGGCAATTCTGCTTGTGAAGGCCTTTCAGGCACTATTACAGCTGAACACTAATTTGCAATCGAATGATCAAAGTACCTAAGTACTATACATGCATTAAATAAATCTTTAACTCTTTGAAAGAATCACGAAATAAAAGCTCAATTGATACTTATACGTAGTAATATAACAATTTACTACACACACAAGCACATTTAGCAAAACAAAAAATAATATAAAGCAGTAATTAGAATTCACATCTTTTAATATCCATTTAGCCTAATTCAAACTTAAAAAAAATCGTAATTAAATAAAGCGTATTTGTTTAGATTTTGTAACAAACAAGAAGCAATATAGATTTTTAAGACTTGACATGTCAAACCGTGCCTATGGAGCATGTAACCGTTCCCAAAAATCGGGAAAATAAAAAGAACTCATACCGTGATAAGAAATCTGTAATTAGTGATAATCATATACAGCAGGAACAGGTGAAAATTTAAAAACTGTAACAGTTTAACATCGAGTAATTCAAACTTTAATCAATTTTTTTCCACAGTTTACGAAATTTACAAGGACGTATAATCAACTATCTGACTAACCTGTATTAGTTGGAAATTAAAGCAAATGAATGAAAAACATGACAGTCGGCAAATTTATTATTTCAAAATTAGACCTAAAATAACCGATCAGACTTTCGAAAAAAAAAACAACTGCATCATTTTGGAGATATCACTTGTGTTCCGCTAAATGTGTCCGGTGTGTGTTTTATTTGAAAGAGTTTTTTTTTAATTTCTACTTATCTCGTCACGAAACTAAAATGCTGAGTTTCCAGCCTCACTTTTGTTTAAGAGAAAATAAATTGCCGAGTAGCGCAATTCACCCGTAAGAAGACACCTACAAATTATCACGAATTCTGCACAACCTCAAACGAAAAGGTGTGGAAACCATAACTAAGGTACTTTCCGTTACGTTGACAAGTGAACATTCTTTACGCAAATCAAGATTTTTTAATAATTTGAGTGCACAAGTCTAAAACTACTGTTGTGGGTTTTGTCGCGGAGATCACTATACTACACCAGTATTATAACATGCATGTGTGCTTATTGCCATTATTGTGACTATTTTTGTAATATGCGATCCTACCTCTAGTTTTGCATTGATGTAAGTTTTAATAACTGACAATCATTATTGAAAACCCGTGATATGGATTTATTGACGTCACTATCACTTTCTTGTGATCTAACTGAAGAGTTTGACTTTGTGTCAGAATTCTCAGGTTCTTTCAAAGATGGTTTCCACAAATCTCCATTAAACATTTTAAATAAGCCTTTTGATATTGTATTATCGCTTGTTTCGTAGACAAAAACGTATTTAGTCCAAAAACGGTCCGAAACGTGAGATAATGAGCATTCGTTTGGCAGCATGCAAAATGAATGATGTTCATCTGTTTATGAATAAAAAACAGTACAAAATTACTACCATACTATTTTAGAACGAATCTAGTATTAAATTGTTTTACTACGATAATACATTTTACAATAGTTACAAATATAAGAAGTGTATTTTTAATATTACCTGGTAATTTCTTAGTCCGAAATGAAGCATTGGTAATCATGGACTTTGACATCGTAACTGTAGTCGAAGCTGGCGACAGAGCGACGCTTATGCCCATTGGTCCATCAGACGGTTGACCTGAAAGACAGGCGAGTGATTTATTAATATTATAGAGGGCTTTCTACGCATATTTTATCCCTGCACGACGTATCACTCCTTTCCTGTACATTTGACGCAACATGGGTAACAATCGCAGATTGGGAAATCGTCGGGGACAGTGCAAATCCGCGTATCTACATACGCGTATTGGTAAAAAGCGCTTATTTGCACTAAACCAAATTTCACAGGGGAGGGATTTAACGTTATTACTTTGTGATTTCTATAGCTACGATTTTAATTTTTAATAAGTCACGCGGATTTGATTTGGCCATTAAAGTACCGAAAAGGAAACTCATAATCAAATGCTAGTTACGCGTAATTGCATCGAAATTCTCATATCATCTCAAAATTCTCATCGAATATCATCTGCGACGAAATTCTTTCACTACGATGACAGGCAGCATTATAGTATATGTTAGCAATACGATAAGATCTTTCGAGAATAATTGTCTACTTCAAAAATATTCAATTAATGATAAAAAGATGTTAAAATTGACGCGTATCGGACGTGCAAAGTTGCCGGACCGTATAACGACCCATTGTTGTAATATGATTGTTTCAACCAATAAAAAGATCGGATTCACAATAAACTCGAGCACAATTTGAATACAGTTCTTAGTAAATCAATTATAAAGTAAGTATTTTCGTTTGAGACATTTTTTTGACGTAGATATATTTGCTCATGGCCACTAAATAGCAGTGGCGTTGCGTGAAAATTGTTATTAGTAAAGCCGTAGCAAAAACCACCGATATTTAAATAACCTTTTTATCGCTAAAGACGCCTTGGCGACATAGATAACACCTTATTTGTACACACGTTACTAGTACTGGTTAAGTTAGCTTACATAAAAACTGAGCACAAAATCTAGTAAATTACTTTAAAACCTATGATAAACGAATTTTGTTAAGGACATAATTATTATTGAATTTTTTGAATAAATTGATTAAGTACTGAGGATTGTTGATTTACATAAGCCGGTGAGAATCTAGTTATATGAACGCCTCGTCACTGTTACCTAGCCCTGCAGCAAAGGTAAGGTCTACGGTGAAACGAGCTCGCCTAGAAAATGCCTATTCAGTCGCACCTTGAAGATACTCGGGTTGTATGTGCGCGGAAACACCGTCGCAGGCAGGGAATTTCATTTTTGGGCTGTGCGCGTAATAAAAGGTGACGAAAAGGGAATATCGACCAAATAAGGATGATTTCCCGCCGTACGACAGATGTCGGGTGGTAAAAATAGGGGCGGGAGGAATGAGCTGAAAGAGCTCATGGGCACACAAGCACCATTTTTATATAATATCAAGTGACGGGACAAGCAAGCCGTGCGCTTGATGGTAAGCTACACGCCTATCCATAGCAGTTGCAGTGCCACTCTGAGCTTTAAATCGCAAAGATCTGAGGGGCACTGCCACTGCGCCCGTCACCCTGAGACATAAGTTGACAAGTCCCATGAGCGTGTAATTTCACCAGTGCCCTTACCCTTGAAAACCGGAACGCAGTAATACTCACATTATTGCTTAACACTGCGCAGAGTCGAAGCGTCGCGACGCGTCATGTTTTTCGCCTATAGCATATTCATCTCTATTTTCCCATAATTAAGGTACAAATTTGTGTTATGCAAATATGGAGTCGCGCGATGACGACGTTACTTGGGCGCAGTGAGGTGTCAGACACCGCGCGTACTAATGCGAATGTCGTCGCGCGTCGCCAGGCGTTGTAGTTGAAAAACAAGACGCGACGCGACGCTTCGACTCTGCGCCAGTGTGAGTTGAGCTTTAGTGACGATTACTTGACATATTAATAAATAATGGTATTGAATAATGATTTATTGAATAATGACTCGGATTTTGCTACCCACAGCGGCAGCGAATAACGCCTATAAGTATTTGAAGTAATCTGAACAGCTTTTTACACAGACAGACCTCTTTGGTAGGTCGTACAGTGTGTGTACTGCAGTAGACGCGCAACGTAGGGTACATTATCATTACCAAATAGTTGTGAGTGGAAAGTACCTGAGCTGTTTTTCAATGAATTGATAACAGCGCTGGTGACCAACATAACGTCAGGGAATAGTTCGTACTGAGCCCTCGTGTCGATGTCTTTCACAGCCGCCAGAGCGAATGTATAGAACTCATTAAACATAGCGAAGTATGCTCCTTCTATCATTTCTAGCAGGAAACTGGGCGACACTGGGATCCTTGGTATTACTTTGGCGGTATTACGAGAACAACTATTTTTCTTCGTAAAACCCTGAGTGACTATTCTGGAACAAAAAATATATATAAAGGCAACTATATTTACCGTCATCAATTTATCAACAATCATTTCCATGCCTTACTTTCTCAAACTCCCATCTTATAAAGAGAGATTATTCAAGACATGGCAAAACTTTCTATTTATTTTAACTTTCTCATCAAGAGTGTTAATTTGGATGCGTTACTTGAAGAATAAGTAAAAGCCAGTGTGTAAACATTAAGGAAATGTGATATAAAAGCAGCCTACAAAATTGGTATACACAATCCATTTTTTGCATTTGGCGTCGATTTTCTAAATAAACGATCTCTTTGCACAAAATATACTAAAAACTGTTTTTATTTTATAATACCAAATGGCGGGACGAACAAGTCGTGCGCCTGGTGGTATGCGACACGCCTGTCCATGGCAGTTGCATTGCCATTCAGAGCTTTAAATCGCCAAGATCTTATCTACAGGGGTCAAGAGCACGTCAAGTCTGAAACTTAAGACTTGAAGAATCCAACTCTATGCCCGTTACGATAAGAACGGTTCAAAGTACAAAGTGTCAAGCTTGACGTGCTCTTGACTGTAAGTGACCAATACTTTTTGTTCAATTTCGTATTTGAAAAAAATTATAAATTTACATTCATATTTTTATTTCATTTTAATAGGATAATTAAACGCGAGCGAAGTGAAGGCTAGGTACATTGTGTAAAATAACTGCTGACATATTTTTGCGAAAAAGGATTACGTTTGTGTGTCTTAGAATAGATGAAAATAAATTAGATACAACATTAGAGGATGTATAATTAATGAACAATTGATTGTTGCGTCATCGCCTTTGTTGTGTGTACTTTCAAATAATAATGATGGTAATGGCGGTGGTAGTGGTATAAATATGGCCAACCGTTATGAACGAGACCATTATTCAGCCGAGCGTCGTATAATCAACAACTCCTGAGAATGCCTCGTACACGAAGGAGGATGGGAAAATTAACTGTATGACAAAAAAATTAACATGGCGCAGTTATTTTCCGCGAGTTAACCTTTACTGGATTCGCGGAGTAACAAATGGATTTCTGCAAAGTACCGCCGATTTATCAAACCTGAATCAATAACCGAGTCAATTTATCCCTTGATTAAAAGTTTTGTTATCGAAATATCAGCTTTAGATATAATTTTTTTATTGTTTGCACCACATACATAGAAAGATTACAGGACAAAAATGAAACACATTAACAATTAGCGGTCTTATCGGTTACAGCGACGATTTCTCCAGATAACCTTCACCTTTGTTCATAGAATAATAGATCTGTCATCAAATAACCAAACCTATAATGAACAGAGATTAGAACAGGCAGAATATTATCAACTTCAAGTAATAGATACACAGAATGGACCTCCCTCTGGCATCCCATAACAATTAAAGTAAAAAGCAAAAAATCAAAATAAAACAACTGTATTTTTACATTACTTGACTTCAAAACTTTACTTGCCGTAATAAAGTATTTGTATAGATACATTTAAAAAAATATATAGAATAAAATATAATAATTTCAGAGGGAGGTGTATTCCTTGAAATTGAGGTAAAGATACTCTGCCTATTGCGAACTTTGACAATGAGAGTTATATTTTCGATTTCGTTATTCAATATATGAGTGACTATGGCATTTCGTACAGGTAACAAAACAATAATATTCTTTGGCAAAATATAAGTTACTTTTTTCATTTTAATGAAACAATGCCATATAGAAGCTGCAGAGCGTCAGGCACGCAGCCGTCGCGATTTTCAGTTTGGCAGGTTTCATATGCACTAGTACATTACAAAAATTCCCGCGCCCGGAACGCTTTCGTGGTCGCCTCTGTGTGGCCAGAGCATTAAGGGTGCGCTAATTAATTTGATACATCCGCGCACAGCGCACAGCTCAAGTGTGGCCGGCGTCATTCGTATCACAGTTTAAATACAAAAAATGTTGTGATTTTATTTTGATGGAGGGACACAATTTGAAACCAAATCTATACTACGGTAGTATTTCAGTACTATATACATATTTCCAGGTGTCATAATAAAAATTTTGAAATATTTTGGTTTTAAGAGCAAACCTGGAGGAGGTTTTCAATTCGACTAATTTTTTTTGTGTGTATGTTACGCGATTATTCTGCGATTTGTGAACGGATTTTGAAGTTTTTTTTTTTTGTGGGAAAGACACACCCTTTCCAACAAAAAAATCCTCCATATTGGTCCCATTTAAAGAAGAAAATATTCCACCTCTAAGATTGGCAAACTAGGGAATGAATCCGGTTTCGTGCACTTTCCGTTAATCGATTTCAATAAAACTTGACAAATCAATGTAATTCTAATAAAAGAAAAGCCGATAAGCAAACTTTTATGCTCTGGCCACACAGCGGCGGCCGTGGAAGCGTTCTGGGCGCGGGAATTTTTGTAATGTACGAGTTTATATGAACCCTGCCATAATGAAACGCGCGGCTGATGCGCGGACGCCGGCGTCCCATGGTCACGGTTGACTGACCATGGGACCTGTAAAGGGCCCGAAGCGTTGGTTTGTTTGAAAAAACAAATACACGCGATTTAAATCCGGAAAAATAGTTTCAATTCCTAGGTAATTTCCAGGTTTGTATTTCCTACTAAGTTAGTCTTTTCTAGAACATATTTTCCCAAAGTGGTCCCTATTGTTAAGAGACCCAGGGTAAGGGCCTCAGAAGTAATTGATGCTGTCTAGTGCTATTGCGTTTGAAAAAAAAATCTGAAATGTTGAAATTTTTTTATCTTACCTAAGTTTTTTTTTTTTTTTTTTTTTTGGACCAAAAGTCTGGGAACCTATGTTCTAGAATATTCTAGAACATAGGTTCCCAGACATTAAATAATATTTCTGATAATATTATCAAGAAATATTTATTATTTAATATTCGTGTTACTTCACACATTCAATCACTTTAATATACTCGATTACTTAAATAATAAAAATTGCCACCGAAATTTGGTACAGAAAACTAATCTGAAAATTACCCAAAATATGCACATCCTTGGTGTACAGGGTGCGTGACAGCTTCAACAGTATACTGTACATAATCGTTCACAGAAAGGACTGTGTACATATTGGCCACTGTGGCGCATTTCAAGTGGAATGTAGTAAGTTTAATTAATTTTTAAATGCTAAAATTACCTTATAAAAACAGATCTTAGGTACTAATACAAATATAAAGAGCCCTTGTTGTTCGATGAATAAATTATTTCTTATTATTATTAGTTAAAGCCGTGGTAGCCTAATGGTTTGACCTACCGCCTCTCAAACAGAGGCCGTGGGTTCGAATCCGGGTTTCCTTCTGGAGAAACTTCGAGTTTTTCGGAGTTCATGTGCAAAATTTAATTTGAAATTTACCATTAACTTTTCTTTTTCGGTGATGGAAAGCATCGTGATGAAACCTGCACATCGAAGAAGGTTCACGAACTCTCGGAAAACTCATTGTGTCTGTGTGGCGGACTATGGCCTTTAGGCCTTAGGGTTTACTCTCGCCCGACTGACTGACTTGGCTTGTAGAACAGTTATTCTACTCGATTGACGATTTTTTCAAATAAATAGGTGGTTGATCCGAAATTGATGAATATATTAATTTTTAAATAATGACATTATCTTGTTTTATAGTCGTCCCCAAATAAGAGGCCAAATTTGACAGCTAAAGAAGGCGATAGTATGTAACTTTGAATGCGACGAACGAAACAATAATTAACATACCTGAGTTTTAAAAAAATACATACAATTTATTGAAATATTATAACAAAACATATGTGATAAAATGCACTTTTGAGTTACTCCGAAACGTCCTGAAAATAGTTACGTCCTCAAGCTATTTTATCTTAAATAATAGTGTTGTAAGCTATTAATCGCCGAATTTCACCGAGTCACTTCGATTTCCCGGAAAAATATTGACTTATGTAGTTGTTTTATTGATGAACTTATTTACACTAAACTCTCGTAATAAACCATTTATGAATACTATAAAACCAAAATTAAAAGAATTGCATACAATTCATTCAAGTTAAGGGCAATTGCTACAGAGTTGCAAGGAATTCTGTAAATTAATTGCTTTTAACTGAATTGCACGATTTGGCCTTTTAGGCCCCCTGAACAACAATGAACCGAAAAATATTCTAAACAATCACAAACTCTTAAAATTTTGAATCGATTTCTCGTGAAAATCGTATAATGTGATTAGTCCACATCCCTATTCGCGTCACGATGACAAGTGTCAAATTTGGCCTCTTATTTGGTGACGACTACAGTTTAATCAATTTCCTAATGTATTGTATTATTTGCATGCTCTTATTTAAGGCTAAATAGGATTAAGTTCTCCAAACTAATAAACTAATTTTACCACAAACATTTATAATGTACCCACCCTATTGCATTGCAAAAAAATTATATTCTATTCTAAGAGGAGACCCGTGTCCAGCAGTAGGACGTATAAATGGGTTGATGATATTAGTTGTTGAGTAAAAAAATAAACTTATTATTAAACTTATTATTATAGTAAAGACATATTAACATCCAGCACTAAAAAAAACATTAAATGATTAAGTAAATACCTTGAAGCTGCAATACATAAATTCCTCAAAGCAAGTTTTGGCAGTAAACTGAGCTGGCGATTGTATATGAACAATAACGCTGACATTACTTTCAATCTATTTTGAGCGTTGATACTTTCCACTTGAGACAGTGGACCCCAGCTGACTAATTTTGTGTTACATTCCTCCCATCTTCGAAGTGCACTTTCAGTCAGAAACTGTGGGCCTAAAGATAGTGGCTGCAACAAAGTATTAAAAATTGACAATAGATAAGGATTATTATTATTATAATACCAAGTGACGGGACGAATGAGCTGTGTGCCTGGTGGCAACACACAGGCCAGTCCATAACAGTGCCAGTGTCCACAGCAGTGCCACTCAGAGCTTTAAATCGCAAAGATCTGACGGGCACTGTCACTGCGCCCATCACCCTGAGATATAAGTTGACAAGTCCTATGTGCCTGTAAATTCACTAGCACCCTTAGGGCGCATTTATTTAACACGAATTTCATCGCGCTCACCGCACGGTTATTCAAAGGAATTTAGGGGCCGTGTTCCAAAACTCTACTCAATACTCAAGTCCTGATTTGAGTATTGCAGTGAGCAATGAAAATCATAATCAAGTCCTTGCCAGTAGGGTGGTAATTTCAGTGTTTGAAATCATACTCAAGTCTGCTCAAATCCTGACTTGAGCATTGAGTACTGTTCTGGAATACGACCCTAAATGTGGTTGCCTAGTAAATAGAATTCAGATTCGCTATTAATGTACGTGAAAGCGCGCACTGGGTGCTTACCCTTCGAAACCGAGAGAAATTGGTAAGGTGGCAATACTTCCCTGGAGATAAACTCTTTCATAAAGAGCTCTACTGCAATTATAACATAATTTTTTTGTAACGCACACACTCATAGCCCCGCACCAGGGAAACCCTTTATCGCGGGTACAACGGATACACGTATAGTAGTAGTAGTAGTACAACCACAAATTACACCCAAACTCACAAGAGAAATAAGTGTAGACCATACAAATATTTTTCCTGGGAATTGAACTAGGGACCTCTGTGTGTCAGAACAGCATTTGGAGGCAGTTTCTTTTTTTAAATTGTGTAACATTTTCTAGTACAAAAATAAACAAACTGCACCTACCTCGTGGTAAATAGAAGCCTGAGCCAATGATGGCAACCGAAACGATACAACTTTAGGTTTCCCATTTTCATCTACAACTTCAAAGTTATATAACCCTGAAATACAATTCAAATTTGGCATGTTTAATTCAGCCATACAAAAAAGAATGGAATGAAATAGGGTTTTTGCTAAGGAACAAATGATGAATGATGACCATCTCATTTATGTGAAATTTCACCAATCAATGGATAGAGCGGAATGGTTTGTGGAACAAGACATTAGCATTTTTTAAAATTACCTTTGAAAACATTTTATTTAGTACAGAATGATTGAAGAAATTAGTGTTGATAACATAATATAACTTCCATAACCAACACTTTAGGCCACTTGGCAATACATGATAGATGCTCGTATTTGTACTTGAAATGTAATCTGATTTACATACCTATAAGCAATGTTTCAATGCAGCGGTAAGACTTCAAGCCCTGTGCCGCAACACTTAGATATTTGTAGATAAGGACGGGCAAAAATTGCAGAGTAAACCTTTGTAGTTCAACCTCCTTGGACCTGTAGAAGCTGAATAGTTGTGTGCACACATCTTCTAGCATCTGAAAAAAATGGAAAACTATATTTCATTCAGGCTTCTGTCTAGTTGGTGGTAGATGCGATTGAAACGACTGCTTGCTCATAACGCATTGGTTTATTCTCATTATATTTGAATGGTGGACACAGCCATAAGATGTCTAAATACATAAATATATATAATTTGGATTTATCACAACTTATACATTTTTATGTGTTATTTATTATTTTATTGTGCTATAGCTACTATAGTTTGTCATTGATATAACATTAGATCAAAAACAGAATAATAATAGTTAAGTAGGTCATATTTGATTTTGTAAGTGCTTTTTATGGTAATTAATTAAATTGAACACTACTGTGTTAACCTGAACCGACATCTCTCATCAAGAAACAGTCTAAAAAAGTTAGAATTAAAAAGATACCTGTTCATATTTTTCTTCAATCTGCGAAGCACAGTGGTGGATATGATCACCCTCTTCTTCATTGTACAGAAGCTTGAAAATGGCTGTGGCTATCTCGTGGTTGTGCTCATGCTCTGCTGCAAAGCTTTTGATCTCATTCTCTTGCAATGATGCATATTCTTGCAGCCACTCAACTATCAAATTTTTCCAATCTGCCATTGTTATATGTAATAATGAATTCACCTAATTTGAATATTATAAAAATTATTGCCACTGCTGAAAAGAGAGAAATTAGATGGCTGTTAGATCCAGCTGGAGAGTAATTGTTTGTCAGGAGACTACATACTGGTTTACGTCTCACAGTTACCAATCATGATAATTTATTAGTTATTTAAAAGGGACTACACTTAATTTAATTACAACACAGACTGGACCATATTACAACATTTTATTGATTAAACATTTCAATTGATTAACCAGCTAATTACTCTGCTATGCTGAAACTTGTATGTATATTGTGTATGCCATTTTCCAGTAATCAATTAGTTTTGTTAAATATACATATACATACATACGGTCCATATCAAAGCCGATACAACCTGAATGATAAACTAACGAAAAATATTTACATACAAGAAGCTTTCAATGTAATTTACATGAAAGTCTTTTTATATCAATAAATTTAAGGTGCATTGAACACTTTCAAACCTTGTATGTATTGTAATCAGTTTGTCAAATAATTTGAGCACTCTAAATGTAAAGATAAAATTGACCAATATGAGGAGTTCAATCATCAGCTAAATTGGAAAACTCCATTTATAATAAAATTTTTAGACCCTTTTTTAAGACGTACTTAAAATGGACACAAAAGTCAGATAAGCAAACAAATTAAGTAGTTTTATTATGCCTCTATATTTATATTGTGTACATGGTGTGAAGGACCTGGTAGAGGCCACCACCAAAAACTGAGTAGATGTGTATCTAGCAATGTGCGACTTTGAATGTTGCTAGTATTAGTAAAATAATAATAAAACGCTTTTTTAAAGGTATCTTCTAAAAAGACAGTTTATTTTCTCCATGTAATTGATTTATAAATAACTGATCATAATTTGTTTGCATTCCTTAATACCTACAATGGAATTAACATTTGTAACAGTGAATTCAACTAGTAATTAATATAATAATTGTTATAAAATATTGCTTGCAAAGATAATCCAGAAACCATTGTTGGTAAGCGCCTGCAAAACTGTATTGTTAGCACACGGAAAAGATAAACTGTCTTTTTAGAAGATATCTTGCAAATTTTTTAAAATAAATTTTTTAGAAGCTTCCTAAAATAGTGAAAAAAAGTATGTTTAGGTAGAAATTAGGTAATAAATATTTGTATAAAAAGCGCAAAGGTTTCTACCTTTGATCCAACGGAAATGTCAATAAAGGTACTAAATAGTAGAAAATAGGTAGTAAATAATGAGCACTTTGATTTGTATATCTCGTTTGCTACAGCCATCCTGACGAACACGGAACTCCTCATTCATCCTCATCATGTCCATACCAAAATATCCCTGTCCCCATCAAATTATTTACCATACGTCAGAGAGGGCTAGGTGATCATGAGCAGAAATGCGCTATGGAATCTATGGATTAGTATGACTAATTAGTAATTAATGATCATTCAAATACGAAAATTAGTACATTACTAGTGTAGTAGGTGAGGTTAGTAATTTGACATTCAAATGATAGGGATAATGTTAGAGATTACTAACACACAATCGCGCAATTAACAACACAATCGCACATCGCTATGTGTAATATTATTTTGAGTACATAGATTAAGTATTGACTTATGCATAGGCTTAATGTGGCCTTTGCCTTCATATTGGGCAATTAAACTGCAGCACACACACAAACATACAAATACACAAATATTACCAAAAGTCGTTTGTATTTGATATATATCACTAGAAACAGTTTCAATTTCCGTATTGACCATTAGTGATCAAGTCAAGGTAATTTAATCTGATTCACACCGTACCTTTATTACACTTTGAAGGACACACCCCTTGAAGTTAAATTACTATATATTGGTACCTAACGTTAATAAATTAGGAACGAATAAGTATTATATAAAAAAGTTGTATCACCTGTTTTGTATGACTTTAACATTTCGTAATTAGAAAAAAAAACAGTACATTATTTAGTAAAAGTTGAAGTTTGTCTTGCTAAGCACAACTATACGCACCATTTCAATTTTTCTATTTTTTTGGAGTTCTGTCGAGTTTTCGTTTATTTATTTCAAATTAAGGTACAAATCTGAAATACGTTAATTTTGCTTCAAAGTGAATTAAAATACATTTCCTGAAATTACAATTTTTTTCCAGCAATGTTTTGACAGTACTATAACCTTTTGGCACTCGACATTATTTGTTTTAATTTTCTTTTTTTTTAGTGACGTGACCAAATCGTACTTTTAAAAAGTAAATAAAAGATCATAAGTTTTTTGAGCATAATGAGTTTGAAAATCAATATCCTTTTATCTATTTTGTTTGGTGGCTAACATCCTTCTTTTTCCATCCTCTAAGCTAATATCAGAGAAAAATAAAAAACTTTCTGTCTTAATTTTACTTTTCGTTAAATATTGGGTGCCACGTCGTACAGAAAAACAACAAACGTCAAAGTCAAAATTTGTTGCAGTTGTTGGAATACTTCTGTCAAATAATTATTAAAATTTATTTTTTATAGATTTGTACATTAATTCAATGGGTTCTTCCCATAGTGCTGAAGTGCCAGGGGGCGGTTCTGAAGGGTACCATGTATTGCGGGTTGGTGTCACTACATACATCGAATTACCGGTGTACTTTGTTTCGACGTTGTGAGTAACACGTCAATGTTTTATTTTCCAGGTGCAGGACGGCTCTCCAGGGCAGAAGGCCAACCTGGAGGCATTTTTTGACTTCATAGTGGCCATAGAAAATATTAGATTGGACCAAGACAATGACACTTTGAAGGAACTGCTTAACGCAAATGTTAACAAGACTATCAAAATGTTAGTTTATAGTAGCAAAACGCAGTCGGTGAGAGAAGTGATGGTGACCCCCAGCAATAGCTGGGGCGGGCAGGGCTTGCTTGGCGTCAGTATTAGATTTTGTTCTTTTGAAGGAGCTAATGAAAATGTTTGGCACGTATTGGTGAGCATTTGTAAACATTGGTGGTGCTACCCACGACAGTTCGGTAAATTGTGCATTAATCTTGCTTTGTGATTTTGTAGGTAGTTCATCCGTCCTCCCCGGCAGAGATGGCTGGGCTGCGACCATTCTCAGATTACATAATTGGTGCCGATTCAATCATGCATGAGAGTGAGGACCTGTTCACTTTGATCGAAGCTCACGAAGGCAGACCTTTAAAGCTTTATGTATATAATATAAATGATGATTCATGCCGTGAGGTTCACATTACTCCAAACCACAACTGGGGTGGTGAAGGAAGTCTTGGCTGTGGAATGGGATATGGATATCTTCATAGAATTCCAATTAGAAATTCGAACGCTCCTGCTCCTTCTAAACAATACAATGAAGCAGTATGTATTAGAAAATATAAAAATATTTTTTATTTAAAGTATGCAGACATTGATTCTGCTGCTACAAGAATATTCCAGTAAGCAAAAACTGTAAATGAAACACTTTTCTTCCAGTTATTACCACAAAACCAACAAACGCCTAATGTGGAGACTCAATTAACACCTGGTCTTCAAAACTTGACCATACAAGATGATAAGACTTTAAGCTCTCAATTCAACAGTGCCTCGCAAGTACCTAACACGGGCAGTGGTGAAAACCCACCACCATTTTTGTCTGGAGTACCATTGGTAAATCCTGGCTATGGCCCTAATATATCACAGAGTCCGGAACAATCTCAAGTGACTCAGCAGCCCATGTCACAACCGCAATCAGTTGTATCTAACATGGCTGCATATTCCAGCAGTAAGTATTAGTTATAACTTGAAAGTTCCAAAGAAAAATTGCTCAGATCATGAATGCTTACTTCTGGTGCAAAAATTCTTCATTTAATAAACTATTTTTAATCAGCAAGGGAATGTGTATCTTCTTCAATAATTCAAAAGAAATCCTAAATATTTAATCAGTACAGAGTACTAAAAAAACCAACCTTAAAAGTCGTTCATCCCCTAGTTTGCTACCCTTAGAGGTGGAATATTTTCTTCAAATTGAAATGGGGCCACTTCTAAGGTACCCTCTTTCCAACAAAAAAAAATAATCATCAAAATTGGTTCACAAATGCCAGAGTTATCGCATAACATACATAAAAAACATGTTTGAGTTGAGAGCCTCCTCCTTTTTTTTTGAAGTCGGTTAAAAATACTTTGAAAGTAATGCAAAAATACATTGTATCTTGTAGACAAGAAATGTAATTAAATACATTATACAATCCACAATTACTATAACTAGTTATTATACTTGAAGTAAAGGTATTTCTCTATATTTTTTAGCCTATAAGTGTATACTTCACTATGTGTTAGGTGATTATTCTAACAATAACTGCCTGATGTGAAATGTAATTTAGCATTTCACATACAAATAACATTAAATGTACATTTAACTTTGTAATTTTTCAGTTTCCGCATCATAATTTCCATTATGCTTATTTAATGTTTTTGCCAAGATGCAATCGGTCTTATTTGAGACCATAAGTAGTTAATTTTTTATACATTTTGGCATGTCAGGCGTCCTTCCAAGGTTGCCTTTATGTAGAAAATTGTTCACCTCAAATGTGTTTATGCTTCAATCTTCTCATCTATGAATAAAATTTTTTTGTTTATTTCAGGCTTAGCTGAAGCAACATTAACCAATCTTGGTAGTATACCGTCAGTATCTAGTATGCAACCCCCAGCACCACTTCCGAGTCTACCCGGTTTTCCCATGAATCAACCGCAGCCTTATATACCGATGATGCCTAACTACTCTCAATCTCAAGCTACGCCATCTGCACCCCTCATGCAAAATACAGCACATGTAGCATCTCCCCCTGCTATCCCTCAAAGTATGCCTAATTTAGTACCCACCTTTGATATGAGTAGTTTCGCGCCAACGCCAATACAACCTCCGCCAATGTCAAGCGGGCCAGTTTCAAGTGGACTGCCGATAGTGACGCCAGTCTCTTTGCCGGGAATGCCCTCAATCACCGTAAGTGCTACTCTCCCTGTTTCCACCATGCAGGAGATTCACCACCAACAAGCTCAGCAACAACAGGATTTATTATCGTGAAATGTGTTTAATGATACACATAAATGACATATTTTAATTATGATAAGCTTAGATTTGTTTTATTTGGCAATGTCCATGTTATTTAAATTTATGTTCAAATTATCTGTCTGTAAGATGCATAAGATGACAGGAGGCAGATAAAGAAGTGCGTAGTCACTAATAAACTTTTAATTTATTGATTGACTTTTTACAAATTATTCACAAATTCAATAAATTTATTATTTGTCTGTGTTAATATCTTGTTCTGCCTTCCTAAATTTTATTTAAGGATACATTTAAAATGGTAAATAAACGATATAAAATATAATTTTCTTTTACATTACAATACGTCATTTAATATATGGATATGAATACAATTAAGTACATATAAACAGAAACTAACATAGATTACAATTTATTATTAAACTCACTAAGTCATGCATCGGAAGTCATGGTTATAAAACTTTAATTAGTGCAGTTTGAAAATATAAGTACGAGGTTCAATATCGTATGTACATTTTCGGTAACTAACATATACTCTTATGATCTACAATTATTTTACATAAAAGCCACTAGATCTAATTCTACATCTTATTAAATTTTTATTTATCGTTGGGATGTCTTTGGTTGTAGTTGCTTTGACTGATTAGATGCTGATTTTTCAATTTGCATTTACATAGACTGTACCACAGAGTACTTAACGATTGTGTATTTGCAGTCAGCGGCAGCGTTGCAGCTTTTTGTAACGGAATTATTGCCTCTTCATGCGCTAATCGTTAATGCGTGTCGTTCCGCATATTAGTTCCTGGGCCTGTAAAGCTGATAGCAATTTCATAGTCGAACCAAGTGCAATGTGGCAGTTCACGTAATATCAGTCTTTGTATACTGCGGTAGTACACGTATTAAAACCTTGTATGTAAGTTGCGTTCTTCTGGCTGAGGTTTCTCTGATTCGAGGCCTAGCGCTAGGTTCTCATGGCCGCAAGTGATTCCCGTATCACTGTAGAACACGCCACCTGCCATCTCGGAGAGTCGTCGTCGTCGTCTCGTGTCTTTGTCATCAAATACGCCAGGAGGTCGTATGCTTGAACTGCGTCGCCGTTCAGAACCAAATCGCATGGGAACCTTCAGCATTTTCTGTCATACAAATATACTAAGTAAGTACTTATATTACAATTAACAGTTATATTCAAATGCTTACAAATACATTTTGGGACTTTCAGCTTTTGTTTCAGGGTGACGGGCACAGTGACAGTGCCCTCTAAGAATTTTGCGATTTAAAGCTCTGAGTGGCACTGCAACTGTTATGGATAGACGTGTCGCTTACCACCAGGGGCACGACTTATTCGTCCTGTCACTTGGTATTATAAAAAAAAAAAACATTCCGTATAGCATACACCAGGGGCGCTACTCTCGATCTCCGTCCGACATCTGTCCGAAACAATTACTGTCAAATAAGTAATATCCGACAAAATTAAAAGAGAAGTATCCAGTATGAAGCTTCATTCGCATCACGCGTCTTTTCATTTGGTCAAGTATTGCTTATTTGGCAGTAATTGTTTCGGACGGATGTCGGCCGGAGATCGAGAGTAGACCCCCACGTTTAGGTATAAGCTCCATACATCGGTCTTGGCGCGGTTGAAATAGACGAGAAAACCGCGCCGCGCTCTGTATGAAGTGCTCGTTATGTGCTTCATAAGGCTCAATTTTTATTGCGGCGGAACGGAAAGGAAGCGAATTTTTGTCTCATTTTTCGCGCATTCTGCGGAAGGTTTTGGCTTGTATCTAGTTTGTACGTTACACAATTTATCATAAAGTTCATTATGCTATGTTACAAAAATTCGCTTCCGTCACGTTCCGTCGCAATATAAATTGAGCCTTATTCTTACCTTAATTTTATTAGGTAGTGAGTTGAGTAAAGTGACAACGGGTGGAGAGATTAGATCTATGGGAACTTGTGAGGGATCTGTGACACCCGTTGCTACGGACACGATCAGCCCGGCCAGAAGAGTCGCAACGCATCCTATCCCAGAGTACCAGAGATACGACACTCTGAATAACCAGAACACAGCTCCGTCGTGGTTTTCTCTGTAACCGAGGAGCCGTCTTTAGTAGTTTCTGAGTAGTTATTGGTTTTATAATTATTATAGCAATTTTATTATATCAACCAATCGTCACTAACAGTAGTCGTAGCAGTAGAGCTTTTTGTGAATGAATTGGTCCAGGGAAGTACCGCCAGCTTACTTATTTCTGCCGCCAAGCAGTAATGTAAGCATTACTGCGTTCCGGTTTAGATGGGTAAGGGTGCTGGTGAAATGACAGGCGCATGGAACTCTTAACTTGTGTCTCAGGGTGACGGGAGCAGTGACAATGGCCCAGATCTATGCGATTTAAAGCTCTGTGCGGCACTGCAACTTTATGGACTGGCATGTCGCTTATATCAGGCGCATGACTTATTCGTCCAGTTACACAAATATAATAAAAATATACTTAATGATAGATAATACCATGACAATACCACATGAATAAAAATGTTCTTAGAATAACTACAAAAGTACATACAAGAAAAAATATTTTATTTTCACGTAGTCTGCTTTTAATTCGATACATTTAGAATACCGTTTCTCGAATATCCCTTTATTTATATATATTAAGTGGTAGACCACTTTTTCTAAAAATTAAAGTAATTCTAGTGGTACAGTGGAAAAAAGTACATAAGTTAACCTCTCCAAATCACTCCTTGTATCTAGAGTTCCCTACCTAAGATCGAAATTCATTGGGCGGGCGATTAACATGTAAATGTTACAATAAATGTTAGATTATTCTGTTAGTGATCGAATAAACGACTGACCAAATCACGTTTTTTTATAGCACCACGTTTAATCGAATTCAATTATTTTATGGCAGCCATAATTTCGCCATCATTGTCAAAGTTTGTTCCACGTATATATTCCTTTAGACTAGGGGAGTGAAAATCACCAGGGTTTAAGTCCCGTGTATAATGGGTGGTCAAGAATATCAAATCCAGCATTGCGGGTTGCCTTAAGCGCAACTTCTGATCTATGGACGGAATCGGCTTGAGCCGAAGCGAAAAGAGCACCATTTTTTTCATCGTGGCAACCCCATTTACGGTTTCCATAATATTTTTTTTAATCGTGCATGAATCAGGCCTTTTAAAAATTGTAGATTAAATCTGCATAGGTAATAGGGTGCAGTAATCGTCTGTCCTTTTTACATGTCGACCCCTCCTACGTAAAGTATCGTATGTCGAAATTGCCAAGTTTACAGGGGAGCGTTTTAAAGTTCTGGATTCACTGAAATAAGCATAACACGTGAATTTAGCATTTCTCAGTTTTATTCGAGAACGAGTTTTAAAGTAACGAGCTTTTCCGAATAAAACTGAGAAATGCTAAAGTCACGTGTTATGCCCATTTCAGTGAATTCAAAACTTTAAAACGCTCCCCTGTAAACTTGGCGATTTCGACATACGATATTTTACGTAGGAGGGGTCGATTGTAATCAATAAAAAGGATTTCTTTAGTATCAAAATACAAGAGGGGGCGAAAGGAACAATTAAAATTTCTTCAGTAGCGTAGAGATCGTTTACAAGATATGGTTTCTTTCTTGGTTTCGGGATAAAAATGTGGGCCAACATATCTTCAAGTGGCATCACGACGATAAAATAAATAGATCCGGATCACGATGGAATATTTCAATATTAGGTACTCTTTGAAATGTCCTAATTCCCGCCGCTTTTTGTTTTCGTTGGTTAAACAGTCGTCCTTCCAGCCCATCTTGTTTGTAATTTTTATATCCCAATTAATCTGTTAAAATGGATTGAATGGATTAGGACCCCCTTCGACTAAATGTTGTTTCTGTTTTCTAAAACCAGTTTTTCTACCTTTTTTAAATTGTCTTCCAAGACCGATTTTGAAAGCTATCCAGAAATTAATTAATTTTATACAAATGCAAAAATCTTATAAAAACAATATCAGTTAAAAGTCAACGATGTAGTAGGTGTACATTTATTGCGAGCGATAGTGGTTTTTTTAGGGAAACAAATGTTAATTACGAAATTTTTAGCTTTTCGAGATAAGTTATACTCCCAACACAAATTCCAGTTTGTTAGCATATATAAACATCAAATTTGAACATTGTGTGAATGACGTAAGGTACAATTTTGGACACCTTCGTTTCATAATTCATAACTCATAATTTGACAATCTGTGACTCGACGTACTGTATAATAAATAGTTTATAACTTGTTTTCTTACGTGGTAGTGATTATCATTTGCGAAGTCAAGTTGAAAGAAGCTGGGCAGCCCTTGACCGAGGTCGCCAGCTGCGGCATAGCGATTTGAGCCATTTGGGCTCCTCCGCCTGCTGCTACCACCAGCAGAAGTCCGAAGACTCCACCAGCAACTGCCCCCTGAAATATCAAAATTATTGATTACGATACTGATTCAATCGGGAAAGAACAATTAACATATTTGACAAAGTTAACTATAACAACACTAAATTTTCGTCAAGGACTTTGGATATTTAGATTTTCTTACGTACGTGGATCTCGGGGTGTCATACCTACTGGTGTACAAATTGTTACTGCAACGTCAATGAAAGTCCGGAGTTAGCGACTGACCGATTTATTCATCTACACCCGAATACCCGCCACCGTACAATATTATTTGGCACTCACCGCCTTTATATTAATAATAAATGTTACTCGCTACATCTTCTCCCCTTTTAAATACACGAAACTTAACTATAATCTAATTACAATCATTAATGCTACCATCTCATAAAACTAACTATACTAATTAACATCCCCAGCATCTTTAGCCCTAGCTCGCTGAGCCCGATTATATGCACGTATGGTGCGGGCGGACGCGTCAGGCGGCGGCGGCAGCGGCGGCCCCGCGGTAGCCGGCGCCGACTGGGCCTCCTCCGTTTCAGACGCCCGAGGTGTCCCTTCGCTACGGGACACTAGATCCGCCCTGGACAACGAATGCCGATTTTGTTTGTTGTTCATCGGAATCAACTGATCGATGTGGCGGCGCCACTCTCGCCCGTTTCCCACGTCCACTTTGTATGAGACCGGTCCCGTATCGCTCACGACTTTGCCCGCGGCCCACTTTTTTCCCCCCGCGGTGTAATCTCGCGCTAGCACTTCGTCCCCGTGGACGAGACGCGGTGCGACGGTGCCCCGGGCGCCGCTTCCCTGTCGCCGTTGGGCGGCGTGCACCGCGCTAGACACGTCGGGCCGCAGCGCGTCGAGGCGCCCGCGCAGTCGCCGCCCTTGTAATGCCATAGCCGGAGACACGCCCGTCGTCGCGTGTTCACAAATTCGATATTGAAATAAAAATTTATTAAGAGCCGTCGAGACGTTCTCGCCCTCGTATAGGGCTCTTTTGATCGCCTTCTTTACCGTCTTTACCGCATTTTCTGCGGCGCCGTTGCCCTGCGGTCTGTAAGGAGCCGTGGTCACGTGTCTTATACAATTCTTTTCACAAAACAATTTAAATTCGCGAGAGAAAAACGGTGGGCCGTTGTCTGTGACTAGCTGCGACGGCAAACCGAAACGTGCAAAAATACCCCTAAATGCGGCGGTCGTCGCTCCCGCCTCCGTACTGCGCATTTCTATTACTTCTATCCATTTAGAGTTGGCGTCTACTACTATGAGATAACGTCTGCCGGCACAATCCGCGAAATCCGCATGCAACCGCTGCCACGGATGTAAAGGAAACTCCCACGGGTGGAGAGGTGCGTGCGGCGCGGCGTCCCGGACTGCACCGCATGCCTCACATGCGCGGCACAACTCCTCAATGTCTGTGTCTATTGAAGGCCAATACACATAATTGCGGGCTAAATTTTTCATTTTGTTTATTCCTAGATGCCCCTCATGTACTTCATTTAGTACTTGTTTTTGTAATAAGGGGGGCACCACGATTCGGTATTTATAAATCAAACACCCTAACTCGACCACCAATTCCTGTTTCCTAGCGAAAAAAGGTTTCTCATCGTCGCTCTTCACAGACGACGGCCACCCGAACATTACATAACCTTTCACTTTACATAATAGGCTATTTTTTTCAGTTTCTTTAGCGATGTCCTTAAAACTAATCGGAAAAGACTCTTCAATTAAATTCATATAACTCATAGTCTCTAATGAGCGACCCTCCTGAGGTAGTGGTAAACGCGACAATGCATCTGCCGGTCCGTTATCCGCGGAACGTACAAATTCTACATTAAAATCATAAGCTGCCAACCTTGTCGCCCATCGTTGCAATCGACTGGCAGCGGTTTGAGGGATTCCACCTTTAACCCCAAAGATATGAGTCAACGGTTGGTGGTCAGTTCTCAAAGTAAAACGCCTACCAAACAAGTACTGATGGTGTTTAGTCACGCCAAAAAACATCGCGAGCGCTTCCTTATCCAACTGGCTATAGTTTTGCTCCGTGGCGGTGAGGGTGCGTGACACATAGCTCACTGGCCGCTCGCTGCCGTCGGTGTAACGGTGCGCCAGCAACGCCCCAAGTCCGTACGCGCTACTGTCCACCGACAGCACGAGCGGCAAGCCCTCTTGGTAATGCGCCAAGACCCGCTCACTCAGGAGGATCCGCTTAGCTTCCTTAAATGCCTCTTCACAAGCTGAATTCCATTCCCAGCTAACCTCCTTTCTTAATAAACCATGTAATGGATGTAATAAGGTGCTTAAATTCGGAATAAATTTACCGTAATAATTTAACATACCCAAAAAACTTTTAAGTTCAGTTACGTTTTTTGGCTGAGGTGCACTGGAGATGGCTTTGAGCTTGGACGGGTCCGGCCGTAAGCCTTCCTTATCAATAATAAACCCTAAATATTTTACACATTTTTGTAAAAATAAACACTTGTTTAATTTTATTGTCATTCCCATATCGCGTAACCTTTCGAGTACAGCCCTCAGATTTCTTAAGTGATTTTGCGTGTTTGTTCCCGTTACACAGATATCATCCAAAAATACAACACAACCGGGTACCCCGCGTAGGGTCTCTTCCATAATTTTTTGGAATTTTTCCGGTATACAGGACAGACCGTACGGTGTGCGACGATAAACGAAAGTCCCTATGTGCGTAGTTATAGCTGTGTACGGTTGCGAGTCCTCCGTAAGCATGCACTGTTCGTAAGCGTGCTTAAGGTCTATTTTCGTAAACCTCTCTCCTCCACTTAGATTCGCAAACAACTCGTCAATACGCGGCAAAGGATAGAAATCTCGTTTTAGTTTCGGATTGATGGTGATTTTATAATCCCCGCAAACACGTATTTCTCCATTCCGTTTCACTACCGGCACAATGGGCGTTCCGAAGTCGGAATACTCCACGCGAAAAATGGTGCCGTCGGCCTCGAGCCGCGCGAGCTCGCGCTCGACGCGTGCGCGCAGCGCCAGTGGCACTGGTCGCGCACGTACGTACACCGGTTCGACATCTGACAGCTGTAATCGAATAGCTCGCTTACATGTACCCAATTTTTCCGTAAACACTTCCGGGTATTCTCTACTCAAACGGTCCACAATATCGTTGTCAATAATTTCATTGATATTTATTTGAGTTATCTTAAGCGCTCGCATCCATTCTCGTCCTAATAATGGACGCGAACCGCCTTTGATTATAAACAATGGCAACGATTTTACGCTAATATCTTTTAAGTTTACATCTACCTCAATATACCCGAGCGACTCGATTTGTGAACCGGAGTAGCAGCGTAAAATGGAATTGTGCGGTTTGATAATTTTATGAGAAAATATGCGGCTATACAATTCATCACTTATTGCCGAAATGCGGCTTCCGGTATCGATTTCACATTCAATCTTATAACTGTCCATACCTATCTGAACAAAATAAGGCCTGTTACCTTTCGCGGCCACCTCGATGTTATATAGCTCGTCCGATTCGTCCTCCTCACCACTCACATAATTCTGTCGACCCGTCACTCGACCACTACCACTTTGTCGTTTACACATCACTTTTAAGTGCCCTCTTTGTTTACACTCATCACAATTATAATTACTAAACCGACATCGGTCTGCCCGATGCGCCCGGCCACACCTCCAGCAGGCCTGCGCCGGCGGCACCCCGCCGCCCGCGCCACCGCTCGGATCGAAAACCGCGCCCGCGCCTCCGTAAACGCCTGCGCCCGCACCCCCGCCCGCGCCTCTGCTCGCGCCTGCGCCCGTGCTCGTCCTCCTGCCGCCGCCGCGAATGCGGCCTCCGCGTGTGAAATGCAGGCCTTCGCTCGCGTCCCCGCTCGCACCTGAGGTCGTCGACGGCGCCGTAGTGCCGCTCACCTCCGCGTGCTTCTCTGCGGACTCCAGAGCCAGGGCCAACTCCACCGCTTCTTTGTATTTGATCTCTTTCTCTGCGAATATTCTGGAACGCATGGTCTCGCTCGTCAGGCCGGAAACGAACTGATCTCGCAAATTTTCTTCCAGCGACGAGCATTTCTGGCACCGTCCGAAATTGCACGTGGAGGCCAAATGTTTCAAAGCTTGCAAATACTCCATGAGCGGCTCCCCGGTGCGCTGCCTACGCAATCTGAACACGTGTCGTTCCGCGATCTCTGACCGCTGCGGTTCTAGATGTTTCGTCACTAGCTGCACCAATTCGTCGTATTTTTTATCCTCCGGGAAGCTCGGTGAACACAGATCACACATTAGTGAATATGTAGCTTCACCCACGACCGTTATTAACATTGACACTTTTAACTCTTCCTTTATGTCGTTCAACAAAATAAATTGATTTACACGTCGAACATACGCCGGGCCACTGTTTAGAACTTAAGGTGAAAGGTTCTATTTTCCCGATTGGCATGGTGTCGACTTTAAATTAGCACGCGTGGTATTACTTTGTCGAAAGAAAAAAAAATCCCGTCCTCAGCGCCAGTGCAACGTCAATGAAAGTCCGGAGTTAGCGACTGACCGATTTATTCATCTACACCCGAATACCCGCCACCGTACAATATTATTTGGCACTCACCGCCTTTATATTAATAATAAATGTTACTCGCTACAGTTACAATTCCCCAAAATTCTTTTTAATATCTTTATCATTTTCGGGAATTTATAAGACTTTTTCAAGATTGAAAGGGACAGTTTGTTAGGTATTTGGTTCATTCAACGGATACACATATGGCGATATAATTGGATGTAAGCCAATCATGGAGAGTCGCCTCGACAGTTACGCCATGCGCACGCGCTGCCGTTTATCACGGCTAAACCGTGTCAATCTGTTATCGAATATTAATGATTTGCTGAGCACTTTAACTTCAGATTGAATAACGCTTTATTGGTTTCATAACTCGTAATAATAAGTATATATGTATGTACCTCTGTCTGGATTATCAACCCTTGGACACGGATTTCATTTAGGTATGGTTAATAATAAATTGCTTTAATGATGAAGGGAAACATCGTTGGTGAAAGCGCGTAAACCTTTTCAAGTGAATGAAATTCATAATTTGCACTGAGCCAGGGCAGGGTAAAAAAAGACAGAAATAAATGTGCCACAAAACCAATTACCCTGGCCTCAAACTAGGGAATTCCCTGCACTATGAGTGGGACTTGCCTATTTCTGCCGCCAAGCAGTAATGTCAGGAGTACTACGTTCCAGTTTTGAAGGGTAAGGGTGCTGGTGAAATTACAGGCACGTGAGATTTGTCAATTTTTGTCTCAGGGTGACGGGCGTAGTGGCAGTACCCTTCAGATCTTTGCGATTTAAAGCTCTGAGTGGCATTACAACTGTTATGGACAGGCGTGTAGCTTATCATCGGGTGCACAACTTGTTTGTCCCGTCACTTGATATTATAAAAAAAAGGTACCAGGTCAACAGAATTCACTCCTGGGCACCCCGACCAGAATAGGTTTAAGAAAGTTCATTTCCAAAAATTAGCCCTACAGGGAATCGAACCGTCATTGGAATGAATCCGGTAACCGTGGTTGTGTCAGATTTATGCGGTATTTGATATATTTCAAAGGAGATTTCGGGATGGCTTTTGAAGCTAATGAGTTCGTACAAAACCTACCTTAGCGTTAGCCCACGGGAACAGCATGCCCAAACTGAAGAGTCCAAGAGACACTCCACCCGCCATGCCGTTGAACGACAATGCGAGCTGTAGAACAGGCCCTAGTCGTTCCACCAAGAAGACCAGCGCGAATGACAACGCACCGAATGCCAGGCACACCCATCGTGCTATCTGATACGAAGGTTAGTTAAAATATACAAGGTTAAATCTTACAAATAAATAATAAAATTGTATGGAAGGTACAAAATACAGACACTGATCAAGTACTTCAATTTTATTATAAAATATAGACGTAGGCACGCACTGCCCTCCTTATCATAACTAACATTAATAACATAAATAACATTTTTAGTGAATTTGAGTTATTTACTTCTGGAATCTACGAAACGAGATCCTCTACAAAGTTTCAATTTTATTGTTAGGCAAAATTAGTGTAATTGCCAGAGAGAGCCTATGCACACGGTGTATTTTACACGCGCCGACGACGCGCAGATGACGCGCTTCCAACGCGATGCAGTCGCAGCGACACATTCACAAATTATCTGCGCATATACGCGCCGCAGACGCACTGTCGTCGCGCATTTTGCTAAGGGATAGTTTTAATTTTAGTTTCGTTGGTTATTTTAAGTTAGTTTTTTAAATAAAGCAACCGCAAGAAATAAAAAAAATAAAAATACTAAGTGTAAACTCCAGTGGAATATATAGGTAAGCTTCTTGCTTGCCACGCGATTTTCGAATGCGCTTCTCGCGCTCGTCTGTATCGCGTTTGAATCGATATAAACGCAACAATCTGCTTTTTGAGCCTCTACGGCGCCGTCGTCGATGCGTATAAAATATGGCGTGTGCATAGGCTCTTAAAAAAAGCTTTAAGTGCCAATATCTCGTTCGTCACCAAAATGCAAATGCGTTAGTTATAAAAAAGACGGCAGCGTAGATGCAGACAAATCATTTAAAGTATTTCCTTTTTAGGTACGTATTGAATTGTAAGGGTGCAACCACTATACTTTTTATTTATTGGTTCATCAACAGCTTAACACTTAACATGTATTACATATAATAAGTACAAGAGTAGTGTGTGAGCCGAACACATTGTCATAATTACTTAAAAATAATATAATTAATTTTTTAACAAAATTTAATCTGATTAAAAATTTTAAACTTAACCGCTCCAATCATACCACGAATAATATGTATATTGTACAGGGTGGCACGAAAGTATAATGATAAAAATTTCCGTTAGATTTAACTCTATATGGATCCGGGAATTGATTGTTCAAATAATGTGAATACTTCTCGAAAACACTCATATTAAAACAAGGTCCTGTTGTCTAAGATTTGTGCACTAAATTCGTAAGATATTGCTATTGTATATTATAGATACATTTTGTTACCAAATGAAATAAAAACGACATTAAAAGAGTTGAAATTGAAATTAAGCAAGGAAACTTACTGTTGCTCCCTTATTTTCAGGTAATCTTATGCCAAGAAGTCCTGTTGCCAAATCTTGGCACGCAATGGCGGCTAAGGAATTCAGTGCTGATGCTACAGTCCTGTCAATAAATATTACGTAAAATAGGACACATAAGACGAGTTTACACAGCCTTGTGCTCATTAACACAGATTTTTAGCGTGAAATGATGCATCTGATACAAAATACTAATAATTATTGTTAATTAACACGTGTTCAACTATTTTTGCCCACCATATTTTGTCGGTCTCCAACTTTGTAAACACATTTGCCGTTGAAAATTAAATGAGATAACTAAATAGTTGTACAGTGTACAGTCGCGTGCAATGAAATGTATACGTTCATTTATTTTCGAAAATATGTAAACATTAGATATTTCGAAAATATGTAAACATTAGATATTTCAAAAATATGTAACCTTGTGTTCTTTTCAAAAATATGTAATCACGACATCGTTTTAAAAATTGTATACTTTTATTTCAAAGAAAAGTAAACAAACTACAACCTACAACTATACAACTATAAACTACAACCAAAAACAAATTGTGTTCTTAATAATAAAGTAGGTAGATATTCTTCAGATTCAGACCGATATTTGAATTAGATTTAAATTTTTCTTTTTTTTTGCTCCTCAATCAAAACTCGAGTTGGATTCAGTGTCAGTCCAAAAGCACTTTTTTAATGAATTTCCTTTTGTAGTGAGGAAAAAAGCGTTTTAGAGTCAAATTCACAGTTCGTAAGTAGTCACTTACAAAAAAGTACCTTTAGTTAGATGCGCGCTTTGAATTATAATGAATTGAATATGTTATACGTGTAGCGTTTTTTTATCGTGTTTTATTTTGTGTACAAAAATCACACTTTAAGTCTTTTATTGCAAAGAGTGATAATGACGAAGTAATAGTACCTACTGACTTTACTTTACTCTGTCTTGTTGTTATGAAATTGGACGCAACTAGAATTCCATGTAACGGTGAGAGGAAAGATGATTTAGACTTAATTTATGCATTACCCAAGACTAGCCGCAAAGATGCCAGCAACGAAGAACCCGGGCATCCCACGCGCCGAGCCTAGTTGCTGAACCACGTACAGTGGAAGCAGTCGGTCCGACGCGTTAATTATTCCAGCCTGAGATAAACAAACATTCTTCACTGAACCTACCAATCGAAAGTTATTTTAAATAATGCAAGTTATTTTTGCAATCGTATATCTTGCTATTGCGTAGCCTCTAAACATCATGTTGTTTACGCAAATTCAATATCATAGTCGTAATGGCGGCCACACTTGCAAAACAGACTATTTTTTGTACAGTATAGCAGGCCGTAACGTCTTTTGCGTTTAAAACACGACTGTTATACTAATAAGTTAAAATTCTATACATGTTTACCTGAATTGGATCACAATCAGCATAATGCGTGGCTAGAACGGCGCCAGTGATGAAATTGACGGAGTAGATGGCAGTGAGGCCGATGGCGGACACCCATAGCGCTACGCGCGCTTGGGATATGCGTTCCACTGATAAGTACTTTTGAACTGAAGCTTGGTTGGCGCAGAACATGCTGGTCCAGTACAAGGTGCCGCCAACGACAACCGACCAGAACGAGTGCCTCACCGTAGGGTCAGGGTTCATACTAGAATGATAATCAAATACTTTAAACAGACAATTCACTCCCATTAATTCTTGATGATAATAAAAAAGTTTTACAAAAACGAGCTGCAATTTAAGAAATAGTTTTATAACGTCTATTCATTATATATATGGCTGTTTACACAGCTGTTAATGTTAAGTAATTTGCTTCACTATAACAGGTTCTTTACTAATCTCGTCGTGGATTGGAAGGTTTCACTTTGAAGAAAGCTATTTAAAAGGTGATCGTGATCATCGTTCGAATCAAATTAACGGCCGTTTTGAACCTGACATTCGAGAACACATTTGTTATGGAAGATTGGCACTCGAAGACGATAACAGTTTCGAAGTCTTTCCGTTTGACCCAACTTATCCATCCTGATGTATGGTATGGATGCGTACACTGTGGGTGTCGTGAGCAGCGACTAAGTCGACAAATTCGCAACGGTGGTGCATTCAGCGGGGCGTTCAATATTTGCGCGTACATTGTGTCTTATGTTTGATGTATCCAACACAAGACACATGTTTACGCGTAATGGATGCGCAATATACGCAAACCTTGAATGCACCACACACCGTTCCGAATTTGTGGCCTAAGTAAGAAACTCACTTAACATATTATGTACCTATTCTGCACATGTTAGGTCATGATATAAGTATATTTGGGTATAAATTAATATACTCAAAACCTACATAGTGTACAGTTTGTGTATAGGTTCTGGAATAGATTATATAGGCAAATGATGCATTACTCGAAGAAATGTAATCTGTTGGTTTGTCGTGCGTGGTCCCGGACGTGTTGCAGGCCCCCAACTTGCGTTGATGCCATGGCCAGCACACCGGCCAGCGATCCAATCAGCACCGCCGACTGGAACGTGTCTGTCATTATCACTGCTTTCATGCCTCCCTGCCAAGCAATAACACACTGTAAGCTCTAACGAGAGTACAATTCTCAAAAACGACGTCTTACTTTGCTTCCGCGCATGTTAATCTTTCATCGTGTTTAAAATAAATAAAATAAAATAAAAAGACATTTATTTCTCCACAAGACATAAGAAACACAATACTCAAAAATAATAGAACATACAATTAAGTGACGTGGACAAAAAGTTTAAAGACTTCAGCATTGCAGATTTTCAGTCTTCACCTAGCTGTTGACTTGTTAGCTTGTTTATGGGTGACCAAACTATTTCGATTAGAACTGAGTACCTGCCATTTTTTTAACCAACTTAAAAAACGGAGGAAGTTGTCAATGCGACTGTTTTTTCCTTTGTGTGTATGTTACGCGATTACTTTGACAATTTGTGAACCGATTTTGATAACCCTTTTTTTGTTGGAAAGGGGTGGGTACCAATCAGTAGTGGTCACATTCAATTTAAAAAACTATTCCACCTCTAAGAGTGGCTAATTAAATGGTGGTTTATTGAATTTCACCCACTTGGCAAATTGAAGAGTCCCTACACGTTTGACGCCAGTTTATTTTTATAAAAAAGTTGTAATTATTACGCATAGTATAGTTACAGTTAACAATATCTGGGTCACTTATCATAAGAACTATCCAAAAGTAAAACGCCTTTGTTGACTTTACCAACTCTATTTCGGGACTATAGAGTAGCTAAGTTAAAAATTTTATTGAAACGAGTTAGGAAAGAGTGTTTGTTAAGATACGATTTTGCGGCCAAGTACTACTATGGAAATGTAAGTACCATTGTACTATACTCGTAATATCATTACCGAGGTTAAGAAACCTCGTCTTGCGTTATAATTACACGTCAGAATACATTAGTACCGCCGATTGTTCGGATGATAGGGTCACCTAACGATAGGAAAAGGAACTAACCTGCGAAGCGTAGAAAATGCACACCACGTACACCAGCGAGACTGCTAGATAAGTATTTAGGCCCGTAACTGTAAATCACAGAATTGCATAATCATTAATGTGTGCCTAAGTCGCACTGAGTGCTAGGTCGTTCTAACTAATTTAAGATCTAATTTAGGTTCTTACAATGATTATAAATCAAATTCTTACAAATCTTGGTTCTACACTATCCATTCTGCAGCCGATACCCTGACTTTGGGTAGTATTTTACTTATCACCAATAACATCGTACCTACGATTGCCACCACCAGATTGCTTCTCGTGTTTATAGCATTTCGTATAACACTTACTTTATTTCTGTTTTACTTAACTCTTTTAGGCAAGATTGGAAGTGATAATTATCACTGATAATTATAATGTTTATTATCAGTTAATAAATATACCTTCATATAAAATTAATTGGAACAATAAAATGCTACCTCTAACACTGTCGTGCCGTATGTTTGTATCCGAGACGTATCCAAGCGCGTGAAAAGGCAATCTCAAAAAGTCACAAACAAATTGTTTTCCCAAAGATTTTTTTCATTTAGTTATTTAGTTTTCTCAGTGTTCGTCATTTTTAGTCACAAATTAAAGGGACGAAGCTATAAATCATGAGAAGGATATATCGGATAATAATCAGGCAAGTATCATGATATTATCAAACATAATAAATATACTTATTGATCATTTCGGACCCCGCTTTTTAAGTGTATTGTTATAATATCCAACACCAATCTTTTCAAATGAATAAAGAATGTTATGCATATTTTTTTTAACTTCCATTAGGACAATAGGTCATTGTAAACTATAATAATTTACAAAATCATTAGCCTCGCAATCTCGAAAATTGCAATAGTGCAATGACGTTTGTGAAATTCTTACAGAGGTGCGTGTGCGACTAAAATGAAATCATCCATTACATAAAGGTTGATGATACATCGTGATAAGCGACCTTATGAATTACGATTGCCATGATTGGCATAAATGGTTGGTGCAATGGTGCAAATGCATTCGTTCAGTATGTGATGCTTTTCAAGAACGGGCTAATAAACGTGCTACGGTGCACGTTAGTGTTATAAAAGACGTGCTTAGAAATAGTCGACGTTTATAAAAGGCTGAGGTTTGCATCAGCAGCCTTCTTGAATACTTAAATGTTTACGAAATTGTAGTCTTCAGAAGATGGCTAATTGCGCGTCGATTATTATGAAGACGCTAGAACGTGTATTTGGAAAATTTTAGAAGAGAGCGATTTAAAGTATTTTTTTTAAGAGAACAAATCATAATTCAAAGAACAATGGCAAAATCATAGTTGAAAGAATTCGTTAGCGTTTTTAATTACAAGTTGGAATATAACAAATTCATTAGGTTTTTCAAATTATAATAACGGGCTGTCTAAGCCTGGAAATAAAATCATATTTAAAAGAAACTCTAATGACTAATAATTAGTATATAACCGGACTAATATCTACAGCTATCGGTTTCTTAACGTTGAGCGACATCTAGCCCTCAAAAAAGGAATTTCAGTGCTTACGTATGGATATGGTCCACATTTAGTTCACGTAATATTAAATGTACTGATTCCACCGATTTGTAATAAGCTAATAAAAGATTAACTACTTCATTACAAAAAAATATAGTCCATAATTTCTTCTCCAAAATGCCACGCGAGAAAATGGTAAAACTGACAAAAAAGTTTCCAAAATCAGGGATAGATGGCACGTTTCACAAAAAATAATTTGTGACCGGGTTCCAATGCAAATAGTCTGTGGTATGTTATTAATTAACTCAGTTTTTTTTGTTATGGCCAAACTTCATGCCTTTTGACTATACCAGTATACAAAATAATTTTCTTTGAACTTTCGTCAGGTCACAAGCCTACGGCACCATTCAGGTTCTATTAACTCTGGATAAGGTTTCTGTAGTTTATTTTGATATAATAATACACCGAATATATTTTACGCAATTACGTAACACAAAACCTCCGAAACTTCAAACTGGAATATCTTTAATTCCTGACTTCTCAGAATAGTAAACCCAAAACAAAATTTGTTCAGGAATTTGAACTCTATATTTTCACATATTTCTCATAAACATACAAATTATGTCAAGAAAAATTTATACGGGAGTTTGCCATTGTCCTTTATTGATTAAATGTTACCTACTATTTTTCTTTCGTATCTAAATCGCGTGTATTTGTTTTTTCAAACAAACGAACGTTTCGGGCCCTTTACAGGTCTATGGGATCATAGGTGACTAGTAGATCCGAAAAAAAACTTGTTTCATTTCCTACGTGTAACAATCGCGAAAACCTGAGAACTAAAATTTTATTTATTATATGGAAAAACTGAAAATTTTTAGTTTTCCACATTTTATAACAAATAAAATTTGAATTATATATTATATGAATATCTTTTTATTAAAAAAAATATTTTAAATCGCTCTCCTGTAATATATTCCAAATGCACGTTAGACGTTTTACCTTTCCGGTGAAATTTTTATTGCTTATTGTGTTGTCGGATTACGTATTTATGTAATTTTTTGTTGAGTAATAATCGATACACTTTTATATATCTACGGACATTATTTCGCATCCTTGGCATAACCTAATAAGGTCACATAGTGCAAATCCACGTATGTAGTATTGGTAAAAGTGCGTAACTGTACTAAACCATATTGCTTCAGGAAAGGGATTGGGACTTTGGTATTTCAATGGCTACGACTTTCATTTTTGCACAGTAAACATTAATTTATGTTGTCTACGGACTGATACTAATTGATTCGCGTAAATCACACTAATTTGGTTGCCACGACGATTTACACGAATTTGATTTGGTTACTAAATTACCGAAATTGACACTTATAATCCAGTGCTAGTTACACGTAATTGCACAATCCCCGACGATCTGCAAAATGACAACTCTATCTATAACATTTGTTATATTTAAATAGCGTTGTAAAATTTCACATATATAAGTACATGCCTTGTTTCGAGAAATTCGTGTTATTTTGACGATTTTTATGTGATAAAAGCACTTCTTACGTATGATAATTTCTGACTTTATTATACCAAGAGTAAGATTCGGATTTTCAAATTCGATGCCTTACTTTCTCAAACACGTATCTTACAAAGAGTGATTATTCAGGAGATGGCAAAAAGATCTATTTATTTTAAATTTCTTGTCAAGTGTGTTAATTTGGATGCATTACTTTAAGAATAGGTGAAAGCTAGTGTGTAAATATGAAGGAAATGGGCAGCCTGCCATATACAATCAATTTTTTGCATTTCAGTAACTCTGTGCTTTAAGATACGAGTTTGATATAGTAAGGCGACGAATTGTTACTTTTTCATACAGCTGAACAAAAAACACAATTTAAAACAATCATTGTATCACGTACATATTTTCAATATAAAAATTATAATATTAATAAAAAAAGCCGTCCTAGCTTAATGGTTTGACCTACCGTCTCTCACGCAGAGGCCGTGGATTCGTATCCGGGTTTGCACCTCGGAGTTTCTCGGAATTCAGGAAATTTAATTTGAAATTTACCATGAGGTTTTCGGTAACGGAAAACATCGTGTTGAAACCTGCACGTCAAAGAAGGTTCACGACCCTCGGAAAACGTGTGAAGTCCCCATCCCGTACCGGGCCAGATTGGCGGACCTTGGCCTAAGGCCTAAACCCTAGCCTGACAGGGAACCCGTGCCCAGCAGGGGGAGGTATAAATGGGTTGACGATTACATATTTTCTATGGAAAAAATGTAGCAACTAATTTCAGCTAACTATAAATAGGGTAAAGCAGGGTAACTCAGTGGTTTGGTTCAACAACAGTTGCTTCTCAATCAAGATGCTATACAACCTCAAATGACTTTGGTTGATTCCGCATAAGAGTGAAAGTATTTAATCAGTAACTTTGGAAAAAATATGTAGTAAAGTTGAGGATATACACTGATTATTAGTATACGGTGTGAAAACACGATTCCTAAAAATTTTTATGATAGCAACGAAACATAAACTTACATCGAAATTTTACAAGAAAACCGTTATGTTCAATAGGTACTTTATATATACCAATGATTTTATTTTATATCAACTGCACTAAATAGAACACGTATAGTATACGATATAAATTTTTCAAATAGCTCTAAAGTAAAAAAAAATATTCTGAAAATTGTCCTTGCCGTTCTACTCAAGCATAATGAAACGTAATAATACGGACAAAAAATTCGAGCTGACGTAGGTCGATAATTCGAATCCCTGTGGCCGTAGTTACCTATGACCTTTATCTATAATCTTAATAAATTACGTATATTTGTGATTGCTTAGTAGCAAAACTTTTCGCTGAAACGATTAAGAAAGATAGGTATCGTGATGAAACTTGCATATCGAAGAAAGTTCCCAACCATTGGGAAACGTGAAATCTCCAACCAGTGTTGGGTCAACGCGGCGGATTATGGCCTTAACCTTCTCCTTAGAGCGGACCCGTGCCCAGAAGTGAGACGTCCAATAGGTTAATGGTGATAAAGGACACGAGAATTGGTCTTTTTTTATAATACCAAGTGCTTTTATAATACCAAACATAACGAACAAGTTATGCGCCTCGTATTAACATCTGTTCATGATAGTTGCAGTGCTACTCAGAGCTTAAAATCGCAAAGATCTGAGCGACACTGCCACTGCCCCTGTCACCCTGAGATATAAATTGACAAGTCCCATGTGGAAATGAAACTATTTTTCCAGATTAAAATCGCGTACTTATATTTGTTTTTTAAACAAACCGTAGTAACAAAAATAGTTTCATTTCCTATGCATACCTACATTAGAATAAAAAAAAGTCCCATGTGCCTGTACACCAGCAAAACCGGTACGCTGCAATGCTCATAAAACTGCTTGGCGGCAGAAATAGATAAGGCGGCAGTACCTCCATGGAGGAACTCTTTCACAAGGCGCTTTACTGCTACTAACATTCCACAAAATTATGTTTCAGAATACATTTAAACATATTACACGTATTCACTTCAATGGATTGTGGGTGACAGTGTTCCAAT